TCCATTAGGTTGTCCGAGGTATAACCGCGAGATCGTACGTTTCAAGAACCCCGCTTCCTCACAAGGTATGGTTCCCGTGCTGTTGGTTCGTAACAATATATTATAAGTTTTAATTTTTTAATATATTTGTTTTTTTACTTTTAAAATACATGTATAATTTAATAATTAAAACTTTAATATATTATAATATTACGTATATAAATAAAAAAAGTTTTTTTTTCAATATTTTATTAAGTTTTTTAAACTTTATTTACCGTAAATAATATTAAATTAAAGTTTAAAATTATTAAATTAATATTATTAATAAATTAAATAAAATAATATATAAATTATTATATAAAATAACATTATTAAAAAACAATTAATTTATAAAAAATAATTTTTTTTTTTAAATATTAACACGTTAAAAATAAGCAATTATAATATAAAAAACCTTTTACTTAAGTTGAAAAAAAGGTTATACGGGTTAAAAAAGAAAATATAAATTTTAAAGCTTTTAAAAAAATTACTAAAAAAGGTTTTTCGAAAAAAATAATATTAATATTAATAATATTATAAAATTTATAATATTATTATAACGTAAAAACATGTAAAATAATAAAAGCGCCGCTTAATAATGATAATTAAATTAATTTTTAATTAATTTTAATTGTTTTTGTTAAATTATTTATAATTATATTAAAAGTATATTAAATTTTAAGCGGTTAACTTGTGGGGCACGTTATTAGAAGTAGTTGTTCCGGATATCTTGTTCGACATCTTGGCACTGAGCTCCTTATGAGCGATTTTATAATTTCCAACTAAGTTCTCAACCCTAAACCTTTCACATAGCATGGAATAGTAAGAATACATTGACCTCGGTATTTGAAACACGCTGCAAGAACATTAAATTCTGGGTTCTATTATCTACCCGACCTGTATGCTTAGGCGGATAAAAACATGTGTACCAGGTAGGTATATATACACCCCAATTTCCCGTATATACAAGAATCAAATATTTTTACTTCGTACCTTAGGTCTAGGTAGCTTAGGTAGATACAACTCTAATCTCCCTCCGTCTCTCTTACAACATCAACACCATCACCATCTACCACCTTTTACGACTCCGTAGCCGGACTCGGCGGCGCGTCCCCAGTCGCCCAATCAACCGGCTCCGGGCCCAGGACGAAATCGAGCGTGCCGCCCTTGGCGAAGACATCCTCCCACGTAACCCAAGCCTTATCCCAGCTGTTCCCGTTGACCTTGAGCGACTGGACGTAGTAAGACTGGGACGAGCCGCCTCCTCCCCCTTCCGCGTTGATCTGCAGCTTATTCCCGCCGCCGAGGTCGATCGTCAGGTCGCTGAACCACGGGGACCCGATGAGAAAAGTGGTTTGCCCCGTCATGGGGTACAGGCCGATGATGGACCACAGCAGCCACGACTCCATGGCCCCCGCGTCCGAGTTGCCGGGGAGCCCGCCGGGCGTCGGCGCGTAGTAGCTGTCGGCGACGTAGCGGCTGTGCCTGACGCTGAGGTCCTGGCGGCCGACGTAGCTGAACAGGTACGGCGTCGTGAAGCTCGGCTCGTTGCCCGGGTTGAACAGGGTGTGGTTGAACTGCGCGTTCCCCGAGCTCACCCCGCCCTCGAAGAACTTCTCCAGCCGCGCGACGAACGCGTCCCGGCCGCCCGACAGCTCCACCAGCTTGCCCATGTCGTGGTGCGCGTTGAACGAGTACTCGATCGGCAGCGCCTCGTAGTAATCGTCGCCCCAGTAGCACCCGCCGCAGCTGAGCGGGTCCTGGTCCTTGAAGTTGCCGTCCTCGTCGATCGGCCCCAGGAACCCCTTGAAGCCGAGCGCCTCGAGGTCCGGGTTCCACTGGTTGCGCCAGTTTCGCGAGCGGTTGAGGTATTTCTGTGCCTCCTCGTCCTTGCCTAGACCCTTGGCTACTTGGTAGAGACCAAAGTCATTTCCGGCGCTGTGAAGCATTAATGAGTCTAAGTGTCTACCAGAAGATACGTACGGTCGAGACGATGACTTACTATTCAACGGCTCGGCTGACGGAGCGCTTATATTTTGTGGTGATATATCCGCGATCTATCCAGTCGGGCAGGGCACCTCGTCCTTCCTTAGTGGAGGCAGTTTTGTCTCTGGGATCGTTGTTGTTCGGAGGTACTTTCTCAGCGTCTGTGACCATGGCAGAGAATGCATCATCCCAGTTGACAGCACCACGGACGCCTTTCACGTAAGCATCTGCTAGAATGTTGTCCGCATTAGAACCGCCTTGAGTTGCACCGTTGAAGAACGAGGACCGCGCATCGGGTAAGAAGCCGTCGTGTCTCCATATATCAACCAGAGAACGGATGAATTCCTCGTACACGACGGGCTGCAGGATATGCAAGAGAGAAGTTGTGCATCGAAACTAGGCTTGTTAGATTTTGCATATCAAAATTCTGGAAGAAGTATAACTTACCGTGTCCCAGAACGTGAAAATGTCGTCATAGTAAGGCTCACTTGATGACCAGAGTGGATTCTCCCCGGTCTTGTTGCTCGGGATAATAGACATGTGGTAAAGAGACGAATAGAGGAGCTGAAGCCTTGTTGTGTTGGTAAAATCCGTCGTGGTGACTTTGGATAGAATCTGGTCATTCCAGGCCGTTCTTGTGTTGTCTTCCAAAGTAACCCGAGATGTCCCGGCGGGAATCTCCCTATCAACATTTTCACAGGCCTGTTCAGATGAGATGAACGATACTCCTACCCTTGAGGTAACATTCTTGCCGTCGAAAGTAAAAACAGCGCCCAGCCGGGCATCAGAGCCTTGTTCGGAAGCATCGCTGTAGTCAGCTAGCTTATCGCCTTTTGAGTCCTCTCCCAAAAACGTCTTGAATGTCGTCGGCTGATCAAAGTAGCCGCAGAAGTGAACCGACCATTTCGGAGCGCGGTTCCAACCCTAGGGGAAAATTAAAACTCGATCAGATGTCTTCTAACTAATAAACTTGCAATGGTTAGGCTTTGATAAACTTACATTATCATAAGAACCAGATCCTTGATATCGAACACCGCTATCTGTCTTAGACACCGAAATATTACCGCCCAAGTAATTTTGGCCTAGACCTTGACCCCTGAAAGAAGGAAGAACATGAGAGACATCGACAACGACGTTGGTAACATCTGCATCATCTGGGAACTGATATTGGAACAGGCCGGCTTTACCAGTTGCTCCGAGTTCTACCGTAACGCCGTTTGAAAGACTCGACTTATAATAGCCGAGTCTCGCATCGTCCGCGTTGGCTCGGCCAATGCCCTGGTCATTCAGTGGGTTGTCGATTGAGCCGACAACGGGTAACTGGCTGACAACTCCGTATTTGGGCGCGCCACCCGTGCCGCTCTCGTGCAATAAGCTGAAGCCGGTAAAATTGCCATTGGACTGGTATCCCGAATAGCTGTCGGATCCGGTATATAGATCAGGGCCCAGCTTCACCATCCCGAACGGTAAGCTGACGCCGGGAAAAGTGTTGCCTCCATTTACGGAGCCGGTCTTTCGGTCGGAATTGTTAGTTTCGGAACACAGACGCGTTCGTGGAGTATTTGTATTTATGACTTGGAGGTAGTTACGTACAAATGGTAAGACAAACTGAGTCGGGTCATGAGCCTCGAACTTCGTAGCTTGGGCGGCTGAGAGGCCCAGCACCATGGCCGCGGGTGCGCGCATCTTGTCGGGCGAACTTGAACCGTGAAAGCGAAAGCGATCGACGAAATCCAATAGCGAAACAAACAAATATTTCAACATCGAAATACCCACATGCTATAGTATTGTCTGCTTAGAGCTAAAAACTAAACGAGCGATTACAGAGAGAGTTTGTAAAGAATGTATAGGTAATACTCTGTCCAAGAGAGTACGAATAGAACGAACGATTAGGAGGTAGTAAAGAGGCTACCCTAATAGTAACATAGTAAACAACGCAACGTTTCTATTCTGGTTCCTGATGACATAGATGTCAGGAGTAGGATCTATTTTGGGCCTATGGAACGGGGTAACCAAGCCACGGTTCCCGGGATCCTGGTGACTTGTCAGTCTGCACATTTCTGCTTAAGTAGGAAATAGCTGCTCCGCTGCTGCTGCCGCTGCTGCTTATGTATTGTACAATAGGTACAAATGTTGAACCGGGTTGTTGACGGGGAACCCTATATTTCGTTTGTTTCTTTTATTAGGGCGCAGCGAAGATCACAACCTTGTCAGCGAGGAAAACCTTGTTGATACAGGCTTGGCATCTAGGCGTAGGGCTGCTATTTACTTGATAGTTCCAAAACCATCAATTAGGTTGTTCTACCTTTAGGCGACATGTTGAACGTTGCGAGATGGAGTTGTCATATAGAACGACGCCGAAGCTGATTCAATTAGCTAACTTTAGTAGTATTTATGGACTCGAAGCATTTACAGGATGAATTTATTATGCGACCTGTTTCCGATTTCCGTCAACCTTGTAATCTGAACGTTTCGATTAACGCCTAATCTCGTCCGGTCTCGTCGCCCGAAGGATCGTCTTATTTAAACTTTTGGACCCTGAGCGTAAATCTTAAAGTGTCGGATATCCCTTGCCATTTAATATGGTCGCATTGCATTAATCATTAATAAATGTGGTACAGTAGCGATATATTCGTTGGAGAGACTCATGTCTATAAAATAAGAATCAGTATTGATCAGGTTGTGAAGTCTGTATAGTTAGACCAATATCTCAAACTTGAGTTTGTGTAGTTGAAAGTTGCTACAATATAAATATTACTCACCTATTTCAAACTCCAATATTAAATTGAGAATAAACAGTTAAAAGTACTCTGCAAAACATGATATATAGTTACTTTTGTAGAATTGTAATAGTTTTTGAAGATGTGTAGGTTTTGGTATAAAATAGGGTATGCATGGACACTCTTGTCCACTCAGGCCCTGATCGGCTCGATTCGTAAGGGTGGCTTATGATAATTTTGAATATTTTTTTCATACTAAAAGAAATACCCCTCTAGCGCCTTCCCTAATTCGGTAGTAAATTTGACACTACTGATTTTTGGACCCATCAAAACCCTCGTAAGCCCTTGTAAGCGATGTACCGCGCTAGCAAGGGTAATATGCTAGTCTTAAAGGAGTATAGTGGCCCATTATTTACCGTTTTGGGACAACTTTCGAGCTGTAAGCCAGGTAGCCATAAGCCAGCACGATAGATGCAGGTTTACAGCGTTTTTAAGCCTTGAAGCAGTAATCGTTGACATTATATTCAACGATATCGCCGTGAAAATAGACCTTACAAAATAACTTTTTACATTCACTATAATAACAGCCTTTCAGCTATCTAACGATATAAAAATCAATAACAGGGCTTATCTCATTACATAGTAATTATAATAAGGTCGTAAAAAGTCGTAGAAGGTTGTTTAAGTTACGATATATAAAAGTTGGGGGATAGTGGAGAAAAGAAATACTTTGCTGCCCCACCTAGTTTATATGGGACCGATTTGTATTTCTCTTCTGCGTAAGCCACCCTTACAAATCGAGCCGATCACAGCATCAGTGTCAGTAACCCGTTATGCTATAATTGTTTTAACTGAAGATAGGGTAGGCCTGTTTAGTTGTCTGCTTTGTACAATACATTACATCTGTTCAAGTGCGACCGGCAGTACGACCGCCTTTGGTAACTTCCAATTCATACCATTGGCGAGTCGCGACTGCTTCCCACGTACCTACCTTACCATGTCAGTTAGGTAGGTACCTGCCTAAGTGGAACGGCAGAGCGGCAACTTGAGACGAACTTGGGAATAACCTTAATACTTAACCTATAATTGTACATTTCCATACCACACAAACCCTGGCCATTACACCAAGCTCCCCACTTTCTTCCATCTGTTTACCCGTCCGTCTTATTCATGGTTATTCATGGAAATAGGTTTTGTCTTATTTTCTTCGGGCCGAATAATTTTCCATAATCAAATCTTTTGGACTCACCGCACGATTCTGCCATCTACTCGATCCCTTGAGTGACGACATTGTCAATCCGACAAGATGGGCCGCAAGCCCAATCCTATAATTCTCGAGTTCTTCGAGAGAGGAGCCAAATTGAATGATAATAGTAATAGGTATCACCATAGCTGCAAGTCATGTGGCGAAAACTTTCCCAAGGGTCGATATGACAGTCTGATCAATCATTTAATCAAGAAATGTCCCGCCCTCTCAAAAGAAGCGAGGACCCGTGCCTGTCTTGCTGTACACGGTATTAACAATGCTTCCAACAATTCCGCATTTAACGGTCTTTTGCATACTGGTCCTAACCATGGCCCATTTCCTGGACACCCCCAAGGCCTTTCTGCGCCCTCACTCGATCAATCTCAGAATCAGATCTGGACACCCCTAGAAACCCTTGCCGAAGTCTCTCGTCAGTTTGAGGCCCACGAGAAGCATGACGATCATGCCCCTATCTCTCAAGATCCTACGGCTGAAGCTGTTCAAACAACTTTGGCTGCTGCTGTCGTACCTGTTGCGGCTGCTGCCAATTCATTCGAGCTTCATGAGCAGTTCACTTTGGACAATCCGCCGACAAATTTGGACGGTCAATCGCAGCGAGATTTTAAGGGTATGGTCCCAAGCTAAGTTACGAGTATATAAAGACGTATACTAATATATAGTTTTATTAGATATCAATATGCTGCAGAAGCATTCCGAGAGCCTTACCGCGGAGGAGAGGCTTAGACGCGCATTCGAAGCCAAAGCGGGATCGCCCACCCACTCGGCACTCTCCGTAGCCATGGCAGCAACGGCTCACCTGAATACGTCCCTATTAGACCCGCAACTAATGACCGACGAATCCATCCATGATCACCATGCTCAAAGTGCCGAGATGCTAATTGATTATCCCCCGTCCCCGGAGAGGCCGCATACGGTGCCAAATACAGCCGAACCTACAGCTCCTTGGGAGGGTATGACTTACATGCCCCAGGACATTCACGCTCCCGCAACTGTGAACGATCATGGTCAGCACCTGGCAGCGACTCTGAATAGAGGTGGATTTCGCATGGATACAAGCAATACCCTCAATGGAGTTCGACACCGACATAGTCGAGCGCGGTTCGACACCAGTCGCAGAAAGGAGGTCCAAGAGATTCGTCGTATTGGAGCATGCATTCGCTGTCGCATTCTGCGCAAGACTTGCTCTAAGGGTACACCGTGCAATGCCTGTAAGAAAGTCCTTGCACCTCGGATTTGGCATACAGGGTGTGTCCGAACGAAGCTCTCAGAACACATCAACTTGTACTCAGCCGGTGTCCAAGTTGTCATGTCGCAAAAGCGTATTAATGGCTACAAGACCACTCACAATTTACAGAATAATGGGCTTGTGCTTGAGGTCTCACATTTCCCTGAGACTGGACATAAAGCCACCTTTAAGGTTCTACAGGGGACTCCCAAGGAGAAAAATGATGATGGTGGTGCTGGCCCCGGTCCGGTGATATTACTTGACAACAACGAGGATATCCCGACAAAAGTTGAGGCATATATGCGCGAGAATCTCAATGAGTTCATCCGCCGTGAGCCGTCTCCATATGTCAGTGTCACACTAGATATTGCTACCACGGTTGCAAATAACACCAATGATGAACTTCTCAAGAGATCCTTGGAGCTTTGGGGAATTGTTGAGATGATGGATAGAGAACGACAATGGACAATGCTCGTAAAAGGAGATGATAAAGAGTATCTGATCAAGGACGATTCTGACTGCGAGGCTTATACCAATATTTGCATGCAGCTCACCGCCGCAGCCGAGCGCAAAGCATCAGCCGCTAGCAAAGTCCTCCTAAATGGTATCCAGAAGCACCTGCAGGACGGCAAGGCAAAACTCGGGTTTCCCATGTTCTTGACCGTGATGCTTTTCCTCAACTGTATGGAGAAAACTACGTGGGCGTTCAAAGCATGGGATGAGGAGAATCTACGCCCGAAGTGGCCTCTTGAGAAGCCCCCGAACAGCTTCACAACCCAGGGCCAGGAACTAACTGAGCTACTCAGAATGCTGCTAGTCATCCGACACATTCTGCCGAAGACAATGGCCATGGGCCCGGAGTCACCACTTGTGGCCAACGATAACGATCCAACCGTGCAGGATTATTTCCATTACCTCAATGTCACGACCGCCTACTTGGAGTCTCGTCGTGATCAAAACAATTTCCAGCCGACAGATTCTCGATCTCTCGAGTTTTTATTCTGTTCGTCTCTTCTGCTCAACAACTAAGGGCCTTTCTTAATCCAATAGACCATGGATTTTTTTTTTTATTTTTTATTTTTTTGAACGCATTACATTTCACACGATTCTTGTACAAACTTCTCAGTTGCCTACCTGCTTATAAGCATTTCACGACTTTCATACGCACGTTTCGGATATAGAGAATTCAACGAAAGGGAAAGGAAAGGAAAATAAGGAACAAATCATCACGATTCACGAATATAGACTCACGCAGTATATACGACTTCACGAATGTTTCAGATAACCCACTGGCACGCCGTACATATGCTACATGCGTACGTATTATCACACACATCGCCTGCGAGATTCTTGATACTTCGGCCCCTATTACATCTAGGGAGAGGGCAAAATGTATAAAAGGAAGCAAAAAAATTCCAAGAGATCTCCTTTGTTCTCCTCTTCTGAAGCGAAAATGGCACGTCTCACGACAACGGATGGTACTTTGGTAACCCACCCTGGAAATCGGCGTTTTCACGACATTTTCGGTATTCATCATGGAAAAGACATTTTGCATGCATAGGAAAAGAGAAAGGTTTAGGGACGTTATTTTTCGTTATCGTTGTTCTAGACTTGAAAGAAAATACCCCTCTTCGCCCTCACCTTCAGATGAGGACGATGTACCTAAGTGGATGCATGGTCATAGTTAGGTGTTCAGGGTTGTTGTTGGCTTTTGCTTTTTCCTTCACTTTTGCAGTTTGGCCTGGCCTGGCCTGGTCTTGTCCTGTCTGGCACTTTGGCCAGCAGCGACAGAGACTGAGATAGCAACAGGCGCGGATATGGAAGGAGATGTATGATTGTTGTTTTAGGTACTCGGTTCGCCAATTAATAATAAAGCTCCTCACAACTTTGTGAGGCTTTCTCAATAAATTATGGCTACTGCTTATGTTATTGCGTGCGTAGGCTCTGGTTTCTTCATCCAATTTACCTAATAATTGAAATATTAATACTTTTTGACCTTAGAGGTGGCAGAGAAAAAATAGGGGCTAGCTAGATCTTAGTTGAAGGTTTCTTGCTTTTCTATATACCTACATACCTGTCTACTCGATCTTGAGTGCCTAGGAATGTACAGCTTCCAACGATTACTAGGTAGGCACCTAAGGTACCTCCCCCGTCTTTCTTCCCCTCTTGTTCTGCCCAAGGCCTTGGCTTGAAGTTTAGGTATGCATGTATGTATGACGTGTATGGTATTTCCTCCGTCGGTACGTACAAGAGGCACAATAACTCGACATGGAAGAAAGCCACAAAGATACCTAACCTACTCACACTCATTCCACTCTATTTTCGGCAAGAAGCCCTGCACTTTTACTCAACATCGCCAGCTAATAACACTCACTTACTCACAAACCAACCCACTCTTTCTACCCCGTAGCCGTCCTCTCGATCCCGGGGACCACGCCCACGCCCCCAGCAGCAGTCAAAGACACAGACCCCTGACCGGGCGCCGCCCTGCGCGGCCTCTTAAAGCACGCGAACTGGGCGCGGCTGTGCTCCCGTAGCTTCTTGAGGACCTCCCGCATGCCGGGGAGCTCGTCCTGGAGGCGGGCGCGGGCCTGGTTGTCCGTCTTGGAGTCGAGCATGGTGTAGATCTCGCCCTGGATGGCGGACGCGCGCTCCGTCGTGTACTGGCTCAGCGTCTGCGCGAAGAACTCGACGTCGAGCGTCGCCTGCATGAGCGCGCCGAGGTCGAACCGCGGCCGCGCCTTGAGCGACTCCAGCAGCTCTCGGCTGACCTGCTCGAGGAGGTACGAGAGCACCTGGTGCGTCATGCTCGGCGCTGTGGTGGACACCTGCGTGTGCACGAGGACTAGGGTGAGAAGAGCTTCGTACACGTATGGTTTGACTTCCGTGGGTTTGGGAGGTGCCCATTTAGGATCCGAAAGCCCGGCGCGGATGATCTTGCGTAAGCTCTCGAGAGATGGACGGGTGAAGGACTGGAATAGGCGAGCGTCGATCTGACCAAGTACGTCCTTGATAGTCTTGGATTCATCTGTAAGCTTGACGGAGAAGGCATTCTCAAACTGGCTATTTAAGTTGGGCACTACTTTGGTGCGCAAAGCGTGGAGATTGCCCAGGGTTAAGAGCATACGGACGTTCTGCGGCCATAAGTTAGCATCTGTTTTCGAAATATACTTCCGAGATAACTTACTCTGTCTCCAGGGTCAACAGTCTCTGAGCCGAGACTCAGAGACACCCTGTCGCTCCCAGACCTCACGGTCAGATCCGCATCAGTAGTCCATTCGTCATCAGTTTTCTTAATCGCACGCTCTGCATTTTCTACCATTCCGCTAAGTGCTTTATAAAGCGTCGTAACATACTGACTCCTCACCATCTGAAGCAGTTTCGACGTCGGCGCAGAGACAATATCCCCCGAGCCGGGTTTGGCCATCGCCTCCGGGATATAGAGGATTTTCTGCATCCCAGAGAGAAGCGCACCTTCGAAGGAGGCGAAGCTCGTTGGCATGCGTGTGATATCTCCCATCTCTTTGGAACGCTTCCAGTCCTCGACATACTTAATGTTCTCGGCATCTTTGTTCCAAGCAGCACATAGGGCAGTGACACATCTCTCTCGTGCAGCACCGACCAAAGTCTTCAGCATCTCCAACTGCTTTGCGTCGCCTTGCCTGACAGGCGCTATACTTGCCATCTCAGACGCCCCAGAACCGACCAAGTTAAGCATCCTGGAGAGGTAATGAACACCGCTGACTGAATTTGATGTCGGGGGCCAAAATGCGAATTTCTCCCACGCCTCTCCCGTTTTAGGAGATGGGGGAGGGAGGTTGTTCGCATCGAAGTTAAAACGAGGGTCTCTCGTATTGCTTAACCCTGCAGACCCGGGCGTCCCGGGTGAAGGTGGTAGTGGGGAAAAGAGTAGTGAGACATCCTCAGGGGGAGCACCTGCAAAGAACTCGAAGACATGCCCACGGATCATATCAACTAGTTCGATGGTACCTTTTTGCAGATCCACAGTTCCCTGCTGGGAAAGTCTATGGTGGTCCCGAGACTCTCCATTGTAACCCGTGGGCAAGGCCTTTTGAGCCTTCCCATCAATAAATCCTTCAACAGTTTGCCAGAATTCTATAACCTCCCCTAATACACCTTGACTAGATAAGAGGCTCGATAAGAAGGCCAACATCTTCTCCCACAATTCGATAACATCAGAAGAATCTAGCCCGTTGGCTTTACCCTCAACTGAGAGCCGACCAAGATTCCTTAAATGTGTAGCCATCATCTGCGGCGGTGGCTTTTCACCGTTTGCAAGACGGCGTCGAAGCACTTCAATTTCGACCTTGGCTCGTTCTCCCAGAGACGAGATTTTCCCCTTAAGATAATCGTACTTGCTCAAAAGCCATACCCAGATCGGGTTATCATCGACGCCAAGCTCTAGTAACAAGCTTATTAATTCCATATGTTGATCTTGCGGTTGCGCAACCAAAGTGTCCGTTCTTGACGCATTATGAAGCGACGTAAGCTTCCTCCATAGTTCGCGCTTGAATAGTTGAATTTGCTCACCAACATCGTACCACATTCGAGCTGCAAGAAGAATCTGGTACGCCTCGGTCTCGCTTGGCGGGGTAGAACCTAGCTCCTCGACGAGTTTACGGGCCTCGTCCGCAAATCTTCGAGCGCGGGTATACTCCTCCACCAGGGCCTCGTAATCTTTTCTCTTAATACTATCCGCAATGTTAGAACTAGCCTCGATGTACTCCTTGTATCGATCGAGCGAACTTGAAACGGTCTTCAGGTTCTCTTCTTTCTCTCGGCCACCGAGCGCGGGACCCCAGACATCTTCGGCCTTGGCTGCCACGTCTAATAGAGGCGTTTTTATACCCATAACTCCATAATCGCTTTCTTTAACGAGCGCATTCTTCTTCCGAGTATCGGGTAGAGGAGTTACTAGCGGGTTCGTTCCCAGAGCCGCACCGCCACTGCTGTTCCTGAAGCTACTTCTACTAGCTTGTCGCGAGTGTCTCCGAGCGCGGTTCAGTGATGGGGGTTCGACGCCCCTGTATTTCATTTCTTTGTAGACATTGTCGATGGTAGCCTTGGCTCGTACGAATCTCTCAAAATTAGATTCTACCAAAACCTTGAGGGATGCGGATTTCTGGTCGATAGACTTGGATAGGACGTCGAGACCGTTTAGGAGGGATTGAGTATCGGCGGTGGCATGCATCTGGGATAGGAATAGAGCAGGGGAGAAACTTGTGGAGGACAAGAGGAACCGATTGCCTATAACATATCTGGTAAGTCTGAGAGTGCTTCTTAAGCCAGGTGGTTTTCCAATTAAACATACGTAGACGGACATCATCTTGGACCGGCACTCCCAATTGTTTCAATGACCTAACGACGCTGTCTGATGTCCCTAACGGGTCGGGCTCGTCTTTCTGTACCAAGTTGCTCACTCCATTTGGCGACTTCTCGGATCCCTGGACGATACTAGTCCTATTGCTGACAGCTCGTTCCAACGCTTGATATCGCGACTTTCTACGATTTATTTTTTGCTTTTTCAGCTGCTCCTGTTCGCTATCCGAGTCATCGCTCTTATCCTTCTCGGCCGGCCATTCGGTGGGAAAGGGGGTAGACAGCTGGTAAAACTCCAGTACGTTCCTATCAAAGTCGGCCATGATGTTACCGTCGCTATTCCCGGATATTGATGCGTACTATGTATGCCTTCCGACGGTAATATGGTGGCCCCGTGCCGAATTTGAATTCTATGGCTTTTCCATCTGCTAATCTTATTACGATATTGGAATCGTCGGATATATCTCTCCTCGAACTTAGGTATATGCTCTGTGACTACACACTCTCAAAGTGTGCTGGGTTGTTTGGTGATTGTTCAATTAGGTATTGATGTGTCAAATGAGGACCGGTTGACTACGAAGGAGTGGATGCTATGTTAGGTATTGAAGTAAGTATTAGTGTTGCAGCGGTGCATCACTCTAAGACAAATCTAGGTTAGATCCTGCATGCTACATGTACATAGTAGTGCATTGTACATTGTACATAGTACATATTATACATACATTGTACATATAATGGCGCATAGCAAGCCACAATATGGGTAGGTGACAAATGACAACATTGAGCAGGCTGGCAGCACGGGCCGTATGTGGCAGGCGGGGAAGAAGCTAAAAAGTGGCTTGTGGTAAATATCTGGTTTGAAAATTCGTTCGGCTCAAGCTAAGGTCCAACGGTTCACGGGTGGTGGTTTTTCTTATCAGATCTTGCAGATGCAACAGCCGTCCGTCCGATACCACCCGAGCCTCAAAAGTTGCTTGAGAAAACAATTCTACAAACCTCATTCTCACAACCCCCCACCCCCCCTTTTTCCCCCTTTGCGCCAGTATCTTAAATCTACCTTTAGGAGCTAAACAAATAAATACCTATATTTTGCTCCTTTTAATCCTACATAATGCTAAGCATCCGAGCGGTAGCCGCACCTTTGCGGCGCCAATGCCTGGCCACTGCTCCTCGAGCCGCCGCAACTCTATCTTTCCAGGTGGGCGCTGACAGAGAGCACAAAATTCCTGAATAGCAAACATGGTCGCTAACTACTCCGCCACAAACAGAACCGAAGATTTTACTCCGACAAGGTCGCTAAGTTTACTGGTGTAAAGGGTGCTGATGTACGTCTCCAAGCGCATTTTGCAACTATTACCATGTGAAATTCAGCCTAGGAAAATCACTCAAAAGATACACCACGTTTGCTAATTGTCTAAACAATAGGGTCGCTACCCCGTCAGCATTATCGAGGGTGATGGTATTGGACCTGAGATTTCGCAAGCCGTCAAGGACATTTTCGAGGCTGCTAAGGTTGGTGCATAGGTTTCACCTCGGCTTTGAGATTTATTGTTTTTCTAAAACTTCTTAGACACCTATCAGCTGGGAACCAGTCGACGTCACACCTAAACTAGTAGACGGAAAGACCACCATCCCTGCCGAGACAATCGAGAGCATCCAAAGAAACAAGGTTGCCCTCAAGGGTCCTCTTGCTGTAAGTCCATAGTCGTCGGCTATTTCTATATGACCGCCTGCGCAATGCTGATTGAACTTGAACTCTACAAGACACCCGTTGGCAAGGGACACGTCTCGCTTAACCTTACTCTCCGACGAACATTTAATCTATTCGCGAACTTGCGACCCTGCCGATCCATCGCCGGCTACAGGACGGCATACGATAATGTTGATACCGTCCTGATCCGAGAAAACACCGAGGGTGAATACTCTGGTATCGAGCACGTTGTTGTTGACGGTGTTGTCCAGAGCATCAAGCTCATTACCCGCGAGGCCAGTGAGCGCGTCCTCCGATTCGCCTTCCAGCACGCCGAAGAGATTGGCCGAAAGAAGGTCCGCGTCGTACACAAGGCCACGATCATGAAGATGTCCGACGGTCTTTTCCTTAAGACCGCCCGTGAGGTTGCTGAGGACTTCCCCAATATCGAGTTCGATGCTGAGTTGCTAGACAACACTTGCCTGAAGATGGTTACCGACCCCCTACCGTACAATGACAAGGTTCTTGTCATGCCCAACCTGTACGGTGATATTCTGTCTGATATGTGCGCTGGTCTTATCGGCGGTTTGGGTTTGACGCCCTCGGGTAACATCGGTGATGAGTGCTCCATCTTCGAGGCCGTGCACGGGTCTGCCCCGGATATCGCTGGCAAAGGTCTAGCCAACCCCACCGCCCTTCTTCTCAGCTCCATGATGATGTTGAGACATATGGGCTTGACCGAGTATGCCAATAGAATTGAGAAGGCTACATTCGATACCCTGGCGGAAGGAAAGTCGCTCACCGGCGACCTGGGCGGAAAGGCGAAGACTCACGAGTACGCGGCGGCTATCATTTCCAAGTTGTAGATACCTCATTCATCATGGTCCATCATCCATACCTACCTACATAGTGGCGTCTGTTAGAAGGAGATATATCACGGTTGCGCTGTAGAGTTGTATAACAATGGGGAAACGATTTTTGCATGATTCACGTCGAGTCGAGTCCGAATGCCGGTTAGGCAAGTTGAGAATTTGTGATGAAGCCGGGCCACCTAAAAAAACAACAAAAAAACAAACAAAACAACCCTTCTCCTAGTTTCCCGAATCTCGTGATTTAGATGGAGATGGTAATAGGAATACAATCTACCTAAACAAACGAAGGAAATTCACCTCCAAGACTACCTAGGTACCTAATGTTATCGTACTAAATTAGCAAAATTCATATGATTTAATAGGAGCCGTAGTATCCAGAACCATATCGCTTTTAGCTGTATATTTTGATTGCATATTAGAAGAAACCCGGCGCCTTTGAGCTGACGTTGAAGCCAAGCTTTGTTGTTAGTAAGAAGACTGCAGCAGACCCCCTTAGATCTGCGCTGCGCCAAGGTGCCTCTCCCGTTATAATATTTGGGGATTCTAATAATTAGAGCGACCACCAACAAACACCAATACGAGTCAGCACGACCGTTTAATGCGTATAAACTTAAAAGGGACGTTCATTTGTCCCCTGTACGGATTATGGCTTGTACAGACAATACGATTGACCGAACCCCTTCTCCTTTGTTAGCCGACGAAAATCCCATAAGCTGATGTGCATCCTGCTAGCTGGAGATAGATAGCTGCCGTATCTGCTAGGCTGGCTAACCGCATGATTGTGAGCTCTCCAACAAGTCCTACATCCCATCACACATGATGATCTTGAGGCATTTTTCTTAGGCGTACCTAAAGCATGAAAGGAAAACTTCGGTACAGCTGACTGATACTACTAACTCAAGAGAGAAAGAAAAAAAAGAGGGTGGTGGGTTGGGGGGCTAGAAGCGGGATACTAGAGTGAATTATAGAGATATATTAGACCTGGATATGGTGATAGATTGAACTAGACACATCTCGACCAGATGACCGTCGTTCATCAAATCCAGGGAGGTAAGTTGCGATCTCCAGGACGCCGAAGCCCAGGAACGGAGCTGCGTTTTCTCATTAGGTTATCGAGCCCGTCGTTGAATTATCATGTATCACATCACAACCTTAGTTAGCTTACTTACCTCTAATCTGATTTTTTTTTTCCTTAGATATTACGGGCTGCTGTATCACGACTATTCTCCTTACCGACTGGAATAATGGAACCATTTACATGCCACAATTGTAGGTTCTCGGGACGCAATTGGTGCCAGGACCGTGGATATCGAAGATCGAAGACATGTGCGAAAGTTGTGACCTCTATGTGAGTGATGTGATATTCGTATCGTAGCACGGACGACGCGACGCGATGGTAATCACGGCTAGCAATGATACCTACCTGCCTAACGTACCTTTACCACCTAGCCCTACCCTCCAACCCGGGTATGCAGCTCGGGCTTCGGGTATCAAGCCGGGAGAGATGGGGAGGGAGAAAACAAATCCCCCACGCCGAATAGCTTCCTGCCGGGCACAAGCACCCACGAGCGAGACAAAGACAGCACAGCATCGGCCGATTACCCCTCAAGAATGTCATCACCTCCGCGTCAGATATGTACGTCAGCCCAACGACTCTGAGCAGGGCAAGTCTCAAACCGAATCTGTGCAGCACGGCGTTGCTCAACCGGCTCAATGGAAGAAGCACGAGTTGTGCGACAACGACGATGGCCACGACTTCTTTTCACAATAAGCTGTGTGAAATAAGCATGTGTGTACCTAAAGTAAGGTAGGTAGACATGTGTATGCGTGTGCGTGTGCGTATGTGGTTGAGAACAGTGTCGCCGATACAAATAGCCGGTAACACGACTTTTCGATCGGGGCTGATAAAACTTAAAGCTACCTAACCTAAACTTTGCACATGTTCAGGTTACGCCCACGAAAGCCAGGCGTAGGCGTAGATGTAGGTGTAAGCTTAGGCTTATGTTTCCATCAAAAACCCGGAGGATTGCTTACGATCGAGGACTGCTACACGACGTGTAATGTATAATACTAAGTCCCCGAGATACTAGTTAAGCACTATCAGATTTGTTATTTCTGGGGAAATGCCTCAGTCGTTGGACCAGGGGGTTAACGCTTGTCAGGGATTTGTCTCTCTAGAGTCGGGATAGAGTGGAAAGGGGGGGGAGGACTTGGGACGTCTCAAGATTAATAATAAGGCTAAAAAGAATTGGATAGGTACCTCTATCGTATGAAGCTTGGAAGTGATTTGCATGCTTAGAGTGCCTGACAGATGTATAATATCGCCCTCAATTATGCTCATAGGCCTAACAAAGAGCACCTAAGGTTAGGTAGCTTGTTTGAAGAAGAGGCAAAATTGGTAGCAACGCCATAGTAACACTAGAACGTCGGTCTGAGTTGTGATACACGGGGGATCGGCATTCTATTATTTAGCCTCCCCAATATGTTAATTGGACGTCTCCATAATGAGGCTGGGGAAAACAAGCGTAAGCTCTACTGCATAGTAGGCATGTAAGAGATGATCTGAGACAAGCTGGGCGGCGGACAACGGGAAGCTCTCACCGAGTCTGTTCCACTTTGCTCGTCCCAAATTTTTATTACCAATTAACTTGCATGTAGGTATCTTACAATACAAAAGTACCTACGTTATTTTACTACAGGTACCTACTTCAACACCAACTCCCTAACCTAACGATTTTGAGGAATCCCGTTCGTGATAGGTACCTCCTACCTACCTAACGTACTGTGTAAATTTCAGGCGGATGCGGTAATATCGCGGGAATAGGACCCTATCCAAGATACATGGGTACCTGGCTAGTCCCGCTACGGTTAAGAGCCGATTCGCTTAGGGGTTTCTTAACCAATGACGGCGCCTCGGCTGAACCGTTTGGGGAAATCGACGACAGGGTTTGCGTGGCACTGGGAAAACCCAAGACTTTTATGTATGTACCTTCGTAAACTTCGTACAAATTACTATGTACACCAGCCGCAAGCACTACCAAAGTACTTCTTCGCTGGCCGACGCCCACCGTAGGGGGAAAAAAAGGATTGCCCTCTTCTTTCTAGAAGGGCCTTCCAAGAATTCCAAGCAATACGAAGCAGAGTTTAAAAAGGTGGGAGACATCGGAAGCTTTTTCCCTGTGCCTGCCAAGCTTTCTTCCGCAAGCAAATCATCGGCACGTCTAGTGTAAATAAGATCGAAGAAGCAAGATCGAATCGAGAGACGACCCCCCTTGTTGAACCCTTTCTCTGACTACTAAACTGAGAGAGATATATATAACTATGGGATTTGGCGTGAAACTTGGGTGTACGGTCCGCCAGTAGGATCGTTAGACCATATCGCAAACCAGTTATGTAGGTAGCAAACTGGACTATGGAATTCTCGTAGTTATATGGAATCTGGATATGTGTAAGTACATAGTTGGTCCTCCTGCTAGTGAATTAGTAAAAACACTAGGCTTTTTTTTATTGTGTTGTGTGCCTTCGTCCAAAGAGAAAGCTAGTAACTGTGATAATCCCGCGCGGTCCCATGCAGATACCGCTTAGGGTATACCTTGGAACGAAATTCCAGCTAGTTAAAGCTTAGCAGCTCTAGTAGTAATTTTCCCACAGCTCGAGTGGTCTGTGTACGTGCAGGTTACATCATGCATGATCCTCACAGATGTCGCGTGACAATTCCGGCAACGCTCATCTTTTCCCAATGTCGAGAGATATGAAATGTACAATTTTGGTAGTATGTAGTGTAGTGTAGACGGACATATGCAAGGCGTGTAGGTACATGGGACGCGGGGCGGTAGGGCGGTCTGAGTACACAAGTAGTAGTGTAACTATTCCCAGAACCGACAAATGACAAATGTCGATCGTGGAACAATCCTTGCCTTGAGCACTTGCAAGGATTTCTCGTGATGGTTTTAGGAAGCTTTCTTCTTTCTCGCACACCCCTCTCCAAAATTAACTTACTCACTTTAGGTATCGTACTTAACCCGTCCAGCCACGTAGTGAGCCGTATCTGGCGCCCCGGTGCGCCGCAACAAAGTGGGCTTGCGTTAGGAACAAAATCACTCACCGGCGCCGTTTTATTAGTATCATCCTTATTATTACTGGAGACTAGGTAATCCAACTTCCGATCTTGCAGCTTGCTTAAAGGGGTCCTCCCAGCTATTCCGTACCTAGGTAGCTCAAGTTACCACCGTATCTAGCAGTCGAGGGCAAAAACCGGCATTTCCGGTCGTTTCATGAAGTAGTATATATAGAGCCTCCTCGTCGCCTAACGTCTCGTTTTTCTTTTTTTCCCCATCTCGAGTTGTTTTCATCAAACCGCTTCCTCAAGACCAATCTCCACTCTAAGCCTTCTATTCTCATTCTTCATTAGCTCTTCTAATAAGACCTCAGTCTACTACCAACGACTTACGATATATATATATACCCACTTATACTTTATAAATCCAATAACTCATAATATCCATCATCACCATCACCATGCCTGCCGTAGATATCAAGCAGATCGTCGAGAGCAAGCCTCTCAGCTTCACCATCAAGACCGGAAACGGCAAATGGAAGTGCCAGCTTCACAGCGACAGAGCCTCATAGTAAGTATTCCGCCAACCAACCTATCGTATTTTTTATTTTGATTTTTAGTGTTACCTTTTCCATTCCCCTATCATCTTCCTACCCTTACACAGCGACTAACACGCGAGGAATCTAGTGAGCGCTCGCGCAGCTCGAAGGCGCCTAGTATCTCCCGCACCAACTCCGACGCATCTACGTCGTCGAGCAGCTCGGCCGCGAGCACCTCGTCGCACTAAGCGAGGCAAACACAAAACACGGAAATATCTCCCCGTCGAGGAGGACCCTGTCGCCGCGTTTCTTCTTTTTTTTTTTTTAAAAAAAAAAAAAAAGAAATCCCCCTTTCCACACATAAAACGGCTGCAGCGGTCCTCTCGAGGGTAACACAGCGTAGACGCATGCACAATTACTTAGATTGGTCCTGGTTCTTAATCGGGAATGGGGTAATACGAAAGATTAGTCTTACGGGGATGTGATGGGGTGGGATGGGGTTGCGGTATTAAAGCTTGGAACTTCGGCTGGGGCGGGGAGGAAAAAGCTTAGCTTTTGTCTCGTCGGCTCGCATATCAGCTTGTGGCTAGCCACCCGGGCTGCAATAGCACCGCACACACATGATATTGGTGGAGGGGGCGTGGGAAAATGCGGGATGGCTAGCACGACTCCGGATCCAATTGGATGGTTTTTGAGGATGTTGGGGAGGGGGGAGAGGGCAAAAGGGCGAATCAAATGTTGATTTCGTGACCAATGCGTGGAACTAGAACTCCCCTTCCCCCCCCAAAGCTCACCAACAGCAGACGCACGTGGGCGGAAACTGTCCTAAAACAAAGAAGTAAAATAGATAAAAAGACTAAAAAAAAATTGATTACTATTGTTCCTATCTTCAACGCATATCGCCATCGAACTCTGGTTATTCGTGATATGTGGTTTAGTCGTTGACGAATCGGATCCGCCATAGGTAGTTTTACATATCCGCATGAAGTCCAACTTCCGGGTCCGCTTCGCTCATCTTAGATTCCTAGATCATCGGCGTCACATCTTGAACCAGACGTAGACAATTATCACCTTATGCTAGCTTATTAAACGCACAGGAAGGGTATTCCATTGACCGCATAATCCTAACCGTCCAGCAAAGTCCCGAGAGAGCCTAACGACTCGCTCCTTACAATAGGGCCGAGCCGCATAGGGGTACTGGGTCTTCAGGGACAATGGATGCTACGAACATGATCGAAGCTGCTGTACAGTGACTATACACAACGCGGATAGAACCCTGTCGTATTGTACGAGAGCACAACGTGCTTTAAGCGAAAGTTATCTGTGGTTAGAAAACACCGATGTTGAGTTGAAAATTCCTACCCAACTACGACCTTACGTACCGTATGTCATGTATGTATAATGAATGGCACCCTTACCCAGACAGACGCGGCGCGACACGACGGTCTCACGACAGCGCCTCCAGCAATCGCATCCCCTATACCGCAAGGGAAACCCGTCTACTACCGCCGTTCCCGGCGATGGTACTCGAATCACTTCCCGCCCGGCCATGGAGCTGAGGATCGCGATGTTTAGCGAGGGAGCAACCCGAGGCAGCGCCTGAGCCAATAGGTGAAGTTCAGTGCCCGCCGTTTGTGCTACGAGGGGAAGTCGTGCTCGCCTCGCATATTATCACCTTGGTTGCTTCGAGCTATCAAACCAGGCTTATTAGGTAGGTAGGTTTGATAAGACATTGCGAGTCCTTCGTTGTGAACGTGACCTCGGCCTGGAGTTTGTAGCACTAGACGGGACTGGTTTCCACTTCCTAAATGCACAGAACTACTTCTTTTTATTATCCTTGTATTTTTATTTTTATTTTAGGGACGGTTCTATCCCAAGTGCGGAACGGGTAGCGAGCGGCCCGTTGCGCGACACGCCGTTGCCGTCGTCATCGTTCACGAATGCGGTCGGTAAGGTATTTCTGGAATGAGGAACTCGAGTGTCCGTCGGGGATATGCTCACCATGATGGTAGCTAGTTATAAGGCATCCTAGGAGATGGGGCAAGCAAAACCTTCCACGGATGTCTTTTCAACCTTGGCCTGGAAATGATGTCGATGCGGCTTCGTTGCTATGGATATATCGACCCTTTCTTATAAGTAGTAAGTTGGTGTAAGAGTGTTTACTAGTCAGGCCAAGTAACAACCTTATGAAGGAAGCACTTGGTACCAGTATCAAAGGTGACACCGAACGTTCCAAGGTTGAAGGGCGCACAACTCATATGGTAGGAGAATCATAGCGAGCTCGACCTAGTCACCTACGGTTCCTAAATTCAGGAACATAGTTAGGTATAAGAACTAAGGTACTACTTTGTGATTCATTCTCACTCATGTGCTCGAGTATATATTTAAATGCAGTGTGAACTGGCTTGACTACCCCTATACCCCTATACCCCTAAGCACCGAGATGGTAGTTCTATATATCGTCAATAGTATCTACCTAATTATGTATTAGTTGTCGTAAGATCCTCTGGTCAGGTATTGTAGTCCTTCTAAATCGATATACTTCCTCTCAAATGACTTGAGCTGGTGTTGAACTTAGTATAGAAGTGGATGAGTTAGAGATATCCTGCGTCTTGTTGTATATGTGTTTTACTGTACCTCCTTGGAATGATGGAAGTGAGTATTCTGACCACAGTTGTGATTTATATAAATTAGAAGCTCGATGTTAAGCCTAGATTTCATAGTTGGAGCTCATCTATCAGAAGAGTTTGATAAGATATAAATTATATACCTCATATATGTTTAGCGAGTCTGTCTATATTATACGTGAGACAGAATTAACTCTGAGATGTTCATGAAGAATTTACTAAGTAGGTACTTGGACGTTTTTTGCTATAAGAGGTGCTGTATAGTAAGAAGGGTTGTTTCTTGTAAGTCGTACCTTGCATCAATCATCTTTCGGGTCAGCTCTTTTGATGAGGTCGCGGTGCCAAGCTCTTGCTGCCTCATGATTAATGAAATCGGGGTGCGATCCGAGCAATCCGAAGCCTCCGCGATACGAGACATGTATACGAAACTATTATCTATCTCATTTTGTTTGAAGCTCTCGTAAGTAAGCATGGACGAACCACATCTTATTATTCATTTGGTATTTTGAAAAAGGCTATTATTGAACTATTTATGAATGTTTCTACGTAGTCGAGTTGAGAGTGTACAGTTCAAGGTTATGAGATTAAGCTTTTCATATAGAGATCTATGTCGATTCCGATGGCTATGATATATGAATAATTTTATGCAAGGGCCCGAACCTTACAGCCCTAGGTACATATCCGGCATACCTACTAGGTTGCCTCGGAGCGGAGGCACGTACATGTATGATGTATTTACCCCACTACATATTGCTACCGGGGCTGTCAGGCAGCCATCTAAGTTCAATAGGCGCATGCTTACGCTTTCAACTTGTGGATAAAATACACTATCTATCAAGTGTATTAACATGTTAACAGGTACCTTACCTAAGACATGTGTGGCTCTGTGCCACTTCAAGTTTCCAATTATAAAAGCCAATCTATTGAGTATAACTTTGAATAGTGGGAATTGACTCTTTACCATAGTGTAAGTTGGCGGTTTAGAAGGCGCCGAGTCGGTACGGTACATAGGCACTATGTAGCTCATAGGCTCATTGGTCTACGATACCATTACGCAATAAGGCGTTGAGCTTTGAGTTACGTTGGGAGGTTGTGGCTGCGCCTTGCCAGCTTATCTTAAACTTTGGGGTTAAGTACGATACTCGAGGTCGTACTTGACCTCGACTTTGCCTTGCTTGCAAAGTCCGAACCTTATTAGGAACGCGGCCTCGTTGCACTGCTCCGTTGCAATTGCCCATTATCATTAACCCCCATTTTTCCTCCCTCTTCTTATTCTTATTTCATTTCTCTTCCCCTCACTTTTATTCCTTTCTTCTTCTCATCTTTCCTCGTATCCTTTTATTTTTCCCTTCTCAATTTTTTCCCTTCGCCTTCCGTACACGATTTTGAAGACGGAAACATCAGGGTTTATACGGACGTCCATGTCCCTTCCGATAGGCACGCGGATTTAAACGATGCCTGTTCCCGTTGTGGCCAAAGGTAAGTGAATCAAAAAAGTCATTCGTCGTTTGATGTCATTACTGTATCTACTGTGCCATATTGTATAATACCAGGTACCTATTTACCTTGGCTACCCCACGTCAAAATCGGCCGCGGATCACAAACGTGATAGCCTGTTGGTGGTGGCTCGAGTTCTAAGTTTCTTGTGGCGAATAACGCGTACAAGTCCACGCAGTCCAGAACAATTAAGGAGCCAATGAACCACGCAAGCTTGTTTCTTCTCGGCGTTTGTATCCTATTAGATCTTATAAATTAGGCACCATCTTTACCTAAATTAACCTTACCTAGGTATCCTACCAATACCCAATACCCAAATACCCAATACCTTTTCCCCAGATAGCTTTGATACAAATATTCAATCTTTCCTCTCTCATACCGCATTTCCCCTCCTTCTACTTTAAGTAGTCATTCTATTTTCTCTGCAACCATTTACGCTATGCCACCTATTAACCAAGCTGCCATCTCAGTTGGCGTCGTCGCCCTCACGGTTGCTGTCGCAGCTGCTGTAGCGGTCTACGAATCGCCCGAATTACAGCGCATGGCAAGCGATCTCCGACGTCGAATTGCCATCGCACTCCACGCCCTCGGCGACAGTGTAAGCCCTGCAGAACGAGAGAACCTTTTCAATAGACCCGAAGATGCCGAAGGATTTCTACGATCCAGAGGCTTTGGTGTTGACGGAGAACCTGGCGTCGATGCGGACGATGAAACTCGGCGAAGACAACGAGAAGAATTAATGTATTGGAATGCTGTGCGCGAGGGAAAGAAAGAAAAGGAACGCAACGACCCGGAAAAAGCAAACGTTTCACGTTCGCGGGCTTCAACAAGAGGCTCGAGTTTCGACGACTTCATGCGACAGGATAGCAACGCTGAGAAAGGTACATTTGTTTTCCAAACCGGATCTGAACTACAAAACACCGACGGCCTACTTCGACGACGTGGCGAGGGAGCACGAGGTCTCGCCCAATCCGCCTACACGAACCCTTTTACTGATGAGCACGGAATCGACGAGCACATTGCCTTCGAAAACAGTTTAGTAGAGCCTGAAAAGGATGAAATGGACTCGGATATCTACAGCGCTAGCACACAATTTGGCTTCAAGAGTGAAACTGCACAACTTACTACCCTATCGCCCGCTCCCATTGAGGTCATTCCGCCGTTAATTAGTCTCGCGGACCACCAGCCGGCTACGCAAACGCAACCTGCTCAACCTTCCGAGCGAGAACTAGGCCCTAACGAATACATGACTGCCGGACAAGATGACAGAAACGATGCGTATACCTCTATTCAGGCCTGGGCCCATGACACTTCAAATGCCAGCTTCTACTCCCCGCTACCAGTATCACCTGCTGCACCTCTTTCAGATGCCGAATTCTTCAGCGAAGGCGCTCTGACTCCGACAGATTCTGCCTCGGTAGCTGGCTCCGGTGATGATCTTGGCGATGCTGTATCTGCTAGGTCATGGACCGAGGGCCGACACTACGATGTTATGAGTGATGATGGGGGCATGATGACTCCTGCAAGCTGGACCGAAGTTGGAAGCGTTGTAAGCGAAAGTGATGCTGGTATGGCACACCACAACTAAGAAAGACATATGCCTTTCATCTTCCATTTAGCATATTCATTCTCATGGCATGGCGTATTTTGGGCAAGGTATCTGGACATTGGCAGGGTAATGGATTCAATATTGAGCTTTGATTTGTTTTGATGTTAGAAAAATTGGCTTATAAGATGTAGTATTTCGCACTAAATGGGTATCTATGGCTCGTCTCCAATAAAATAAAGAGAAAACAGTTCCGCCAACTCTTACGCTCAGTCTCTAGGGCATTTGTCCATCGTTCTATCCTTGATCTGTATGCATGTAAACCCCCATGATGTCTAGAAGTTGCCAGTCGCCCTCACCCTCTCTACGCACCCTTTACCAGCGTCTTCTTGTAATCCTCAAATAATTGCTCCACCGATCCCCCCACAAGCTCCGTCCAGAACGTCTTCTCGTCATACGCCTCCTCCCGCAGTTTCTCGTTCAGCCGGCGCACGATGCCCTCGCCGAACCTCTTCTCGAGGTACTCAAGAAAGTAGGCGGTGCCCTGGTACCCGACGTCCCACTTCGCGGGCACTTGATCGCGCCTCCAGTGCGGGGGCGCCAGATCGCATCTCAAGCGCACCCAATCGGCGACCCCCTCGATCAGCCCCCCCGGGGCCCGGCCCCGCCCGTTCCACTGGTAGCAGTGGACCAGCTCGTGCAGGAGGACGCCGCGGATCTCGGCGGACTGGCGGGACGAGGAAGGGGGGGCCACGGACGAGATGTACCGCAGCGAGAAGTGGATCTCCTTGTGGTGCTCCGGGTCCAGGTCCACGCCGGTCGTGTACGCTACGCCGTCCATGTCCCGCAGGATGAGGGTTACGGAGCGGGTTGGCGGGGGGGAGAGGGAGGAAGAGGAAGTGGAAGAGGAGAGAGGGTCGGTGTAGAGGTGCGTGTGGATGGCGTCGATGCTGTCGCGTAGCACGGTGGCGGCGTTCACGGAGGAGAGGAATACGGAGGATCCGGGGTGTGCGACGTCTTGGATATGCAGGCGTAGACGCGGGAGGTCGACGGTAGAAGCGGAGGGAGAAGAAGAGGAGGAGGAAGAATTGTCCGCTGCGGTTTCGGTGTCAGTGTCTGCCTTGGGCCGTATCGGAATGGCAGACGGTGCGGGAGCCGGAACCGGACTCGGAGTCGGGGTTTCGGCGGCGTGAGACATGCCGGGCAGAAAGACGGGTTGGGGCGCCGGAGTGGTTTCTGGAGGGAATGGAACAGACAAAGGAGCGGCGGCGACGGCCTCCTCTTTCTCGGATTGTGACATGGTGAGGTGGATATAGAGAGTTGCGGTTTCAGAGACGGAGACGGAGACGGAGACGGAGCCGGTGTCGTTTGAGTTGAAGGGACTCATGGGATGAGACGTGGGTACCTAGGTACCTAGATAAGGTGTAGGTATGTATTTATATTAGTGAGGAAAAGGTGTAATTACTCCGGGTTTATAACAGGTAGTTGGTGGAATAGATAGGTATTATAATGCTTTTAGGTATTTGTTTAGGTCGGACTTGGGATTAGGGGGAATTGGTTATCACTAGCTAGGTAAGTAGCTAACGAAGCTTTAAAGGAAGATAGATTACTAGCTTCGTATTGCTTGTTGCTTGTAGCGTAGTAAGTATATTGTTTAATAAGAGGTACCTAATTTTATGAGGTAGTTTGATGTTGTACAAAAGGCAGAAAAATAATTGGATATGATGTGAGTATGCTAAGACGACAAGGGACGATATAATGACGGCGGACCATATGCCATCAAACCGCCAAACCGCCAAACCGCCAAAAATTGAATGACATAATCATAAGGCCTTTGTTTAACCTCCGTTTAACCTTCGTTTAGCTTTTATTTAATTTTTAAAATTTTTGTTTTTTTTTAAAAAAAAAATTAAAAAAAAATTAAACGTGGGTTTAATAAAGGTTTAATAAAAATTTACCTATTTTATGATTATGTCATCCAATCTTAGATTATGTCATATACTTTTTGGCGGTTTGGCGGTTTAGGGCATATGGTCCACCGTAATAATTGATGTTTAATAGTAGGTACAATACCTTATTAGCTATCTTCGTTGCCCCTCATCAATTTGCTTGGCGGGGCAATCCGCTGACAATTGAGCTGCATTAGGGTTCCTAATCCCATCCCTCTTATGACGGGGACCCCCCTTGGCCCCTGCTTCTGGGGTGTCACAGACCTATTTCCTGCCTATCATATTAGGTACTGGCTCAGTACTGGGACTTATATGGACACATGAAGTGTTTTAGTGCTGCACAAGCCCCACAGAAGCACTTACAGGTGTGGATACCCCCGAATGCCGTTGTCCTGGTGCAGAAAGTTGGCCATTTCCCGCATCAACAACTACAACAAATTATGACAACAATACACATACATGAGAGAAACAAAAAATAACGAGATAGCTTTTTCGACTCAAGGAAAAAACAATTGCTTTATCGCTTCACCTCCCTTTTTTTATAATATTCTATCTATAAATTCAAGCTTTGTCTACTACATGCGCTATCGATAGAAAAGCGACCAATATAATTTGGAGGAGACTTTTTTGATAAGTAATTTAAATTATTAGTGTTCTGGAACAATCGTCGCAAACTTTTGTCACTTTGAATCAATTCAACTTTCTGGACCTGAGCCACCACCACTACCACTACAACTACAAACTACCACAGGTACTTTACTCCATTACATTACTTGTTAGGGAACAACCGAGAATCCCGTCTGCCTAACCGCGGCAGCTCTATACCTAACTTAAAATCTCGTCGCATCCTGCTGCTGAGCACGTCCCGTTGTACGAGCACGACTCCATAAATCCGCCCTTATTTTGCGACCTACGACGCGCTGCCAGATCCTCAATTCACTGGAGGATTATGGCCGAAATGCTTACCGAAGACCAGGTCGCCGGCCTGCTGACCATCCTTAGAAAGGACGTCTCCGTCGATACCAAGGTTCAACACCTTACTGCCGTCAAGTCCGCCATCAAGCACTACAGCGTGCCCGATGTCTGCGTCGCGCCGCTCTTCGAAGCCCTTCGGCTTGCCTCGAGCTCGCAGCACACGATCCTCGTGCATGCTGGCTTCACTACGCTAAACCACCTCTTGACGCGCATGTCGCTGCAGGAGCCTAAGTACCTTGCTAAGGAGGCGAAAAACACCTTGCCTCTCATCGTTGATAAGATGGGCGATCAAAAAGATAAGATCAGGGGATTGGCCATACAAGCTATGGTCACAATGCATAACAACGTGCCCATAGACGCCGAAAGGTTTGTGCGCAATACGGCTATGGTTGGAAAAAACCAAAGAGCGAAAGAATCGAGTCTACAATGGCTGATGCAGGTACGTGCGATTCTTCACCACCAATACCCCGATTGTCAAGATATATATCGCTGGACTGGGTTGCTAATATAATATATATGTCGCAGATGCATAAGGATCATGCCCTGCAATTCCGCGCCTACGTACCGACCCTGATGGAGCTCCTCGAAGATGCTGACGGCATGATTCGAGATGCCGCCAAGACTACGGTGATAGAGTTATTCAGGTTCGCGATATTCTGCTCACTGTATATGTGATAAAGCCTCTAACATTGAACTACAGGGACGCGCCAAACGGAGCGAAGACGGACCTGAAGAAGCAGCTGAAGAACTTCAAAGTGCGACCTGCCATCGAACAAGCTATTGTGAAAGAACTGATCCCGACGTCGTCAAGAGCGGACCCCGAATCAAGGCCTGCATCGGCAATGCAGGTGCGACAGAATCTAGCAGCTAGTGTCTCGTCCCTCGGTAGTGAACGACCGGTAACACCAATGATGCCCGAAGCTAAGGCGGACTCGGTCGAGCCCTCATATGTCAACACCCAACGGGAGCTAGAGGATTTGTTTAGAGACATGCACCCATGGTTTGAAAGCAAGGAGACTGAGCAGAATTGGATGAAGAGAGAAGAGAGCATCACTAGGTTACGGAGACTCATTGCTGGCAACGTGCCATCCGATTTCCCCGATGCCTTTATCGCTGGTTGTCGGGCGCTGCTCGACGGTATCATCAAGGCCGCCAGTTCCTTACGAACAAGTTTGTCTAAGGAGGGTTGCGCGCTCGTTCAAGACCTCGCTAATACTTTTGGCCCGGGGATCGACCCAATGGTCGAATTGCTGATGCAAACTTTCATCAAGCTGTGTGCTGCCACGAAGAAGATAAGTTCCCAGCTAGCTAATGCTTCAGTGGACATCATCATTGGAAGAGTTACGTATAATGCGAGGATCATGCAACACGTATGGGGCGCTTGTCAAGATAAGAATGTGCAGCCGAGGATTTACGCTACCGGCTGGCTAAAGACTCTGTTAAAGAAAGAGGCGCATCATAAGAATCATCTTGAACACGGTGGAGGGTTGGACCTGATCGAAAAGTGTATTAAGAAGGGTCTAAATGATCCAAATCCTGGAGTCCGCGAGAAGATGCGCTCGACATACTGGGCATACGCCCCGATCTGGCCAGCGAGGGCCGAAGCGTGAGTTTTACAATTTCTCTCTCTCTCCCCCTATAATATATATTGGCATAGTAGCTAACTTATCGTTGAAGCATAATGGATGGCCTCGATCCTACCGCCCAGAAATTGTTACAAAAGGATCCTAACAATCCAAACTCGCCCAAGAAATCCGAACCGGCCGCTCGGCCAGGGTTAGGTCTTTCGAAGAGTACCATGACGGCCTCAAAGCCTTCTTTGAGGGAAGCTATGTTGGCGCAAAAGAGAGCCTTAACTACGAGGAATTTGCCTTCTCGTCCGGGGTCAGCTATGGCGACGATCACGCCGGCGCGCAATGTTTCCGGCGGTTCGTCGGGTACATCAGCAAGTTCGCATGCGGCCGCTTCTACGACTCGAACCCGTGCGGATACATCGACGAAGTCTCACGGCGGTATGTCGGTAGCTCCCATGCGACCCGCCAAGAGAAGGCCAGATGTCGCGCCTCGACCCGCCACTGCTGGACCGTACTCTGTCCGATCGCATGACGAACCCTCAAAGGAGCAATCGAGCCCCCCTCGCAACACGAAGCAGAAGACTGCGACGCCAAAGACAATCTCGGGATCTCCTAGAAGGACAGCTCCGAGAACTAGGCCTGGTCATGCGGCAACTGCTAGCGAGTCTAACCTTTCAACGCCAACGAAGGAGTCAACTAATAAAACTCCTGCTTCTCCGAAAGGGAGTCCAGCGAAACCTAAGCCAGCCGTGAGAGATATAGCCATAAGAGATATCGCCGCCAGCAGTCCCTCCAATTCTAATGAGGACTTCACCCTCGTTGTACCGGATATCGCACAGCTGAAGGAAAGCATACAGATGCAACCGGCTTCACCCAAATCCCCGCCTAAAGCACCTGCACTCGAAATACCGATAATTGAAGCGCCTGCAGTGATCCTGGATGAAGAAGCTACAGCGATTCAGAAACTCACGACTCCGACACCGTCGAAGTCCCTAAAAGTCTACGAGGATCCCTTTACAGAGGAGAACCAACCGACACCTCGCCCAGCTGCGAACGGCATAGTCGACCGACCGGTCCTAGAAGACAGGCCTGTAAACGAAGATGCGGCTAACCTTGTACATACCCCTGTGGAAGCAAACAACGTTCTTGGTAGCCCTTTTGCGTCGCCCGACAAGACACGTCAAGACTCTCGCCTGGTCGACAGCGGTATTGCTCGCGTGAAGGCGCAAAACCTTGACGTGCATGGCTTCCGCAAATTGCAGAGCCTTCTCCGTGATAACAAAGTTCTCCTCCCCGATGACAAATTCAACGCATTGCTCCTCGGACTCTTCGAGTACCTCGAATCTCCCCTCGACAATCTTCCGCCTGGGAAGGTTCAGGACGTGAAGGCGCAAATCCTCGCTACTATCAAGTTGCTACTGAAGAAGTCCCGCGAGAGGTTCCAGCCCCACGTATCCAGGGGGCTCGAAGCCCTACTCGCTACGCGCACCCGCTACGACGCCCGGACGCACATCGTCAGTGGGCTGGAGCTGCTAGCGGACGAGCTGGTGATGATCGGCGACGAGGCGGAGATCGTGGTGACGATGACGCGCAACCTCTCCCGCATGGACATGGACAACACGTCCGGGCACCGCAGCCTGAGCATGGGGCTCCACGTGCTCAAGGAGCTCGTGGACGCGTCGTCGCGGCCCTCGTCGTCGTTCACGCCCAGCGAGGGCGAGGTCGCGGGCCTGCTCGCCCTCGCGACCCGCTGCCTCGAGAGCCGGGAGAGCGGCGTCCGCATGGACGCCGTCCAGCTGTGCGTCGCGCTGCACGCGCGCGTCGGCGAGGCCCGCTTCTGGGACTCCATGCGCAACGTCAAGGACGACCCTAAGAGCTTGATCACGTATTACATCGTCAAGCGCCAGAGGGAGAACGGTGGCGTCCCCGCTTAGGAGGACGGAGCGGGTTGGCGGCTCCAGGCTAGGCTTTCTTGTTCTTGTTCTTGTTCTTCTTGCTCCGGGATATGTCTTTGCTTTCTTTTTCTTTTTTCTTTTTCGCGAGCACAAGTGCGGTCTCAAGTCTCGGTCGCGGTTGTGGTTGTGGACAGTTGTTAATTATCTAGTTAACCTGAATAATACCCTGGTTTTTTTTTTCTTGTCTTTTTTTTTTTCCCTCTTGGTGGCTATGGTGATGGTGATGGTGGTGATACCGATGGAGCGAGATATCTAGGATTTTTCTTCTTTTTCTGTTGTTGTTGTTGTATCTATGTCTGTGTGCGCAGCATGGCGGTTCCGCGGCGGGAATAGGGGAGGGAGGGAGGCCATGTATATCACTTGGGGGACAAGGGAGTTTAGTTTAGCTTAGCTTAGCTCGGACCGGTCCGGTCCGGTGTTGACGGTGAAAAGGAAAGGGAAAGGGAAAGGGAAAGGGAAAGGGGGTTCCCTCGCATACTGTCTGTTAGGTCCTGGGTCAACACAACTCATTACCTACCTACCTTACCTGCCTTTCACCCCCAGCCAAGGTCAATCAGTGCCTCTTTGCCTTTGCCTATACTTTTTTCTACTACTTCATACCTACCTTAGGTACTTATACCCGCCAGGTCCCTCTGAGGAAAGGAAGAGGGGTTTCTGCTTGTTTTATCGTATGTATATTGTAATGAATAGGTAACTGCACAACATCATCGTGGCAAAGTTTGGCAGATTCGATGGGAGAAGGAAAGCGATATTTACGTAGGTAAATACGTACCTAACCTAAGGTACCTTTATGTATCAGTTAATAGGGATGGTTTTGCATTTACGTTTACTTAATGCATTGTAAGTTGTTTGCGGGAAGTAATTATATATTGTTGAATGTCTCCGTTAAAGATTATAGATCTCAGAATGATTAGCTTCCCCCTTATTCTCGTCTGTCCTTTATATATATATAATTAATTGTCTTAACATTAGGTGTGCTTGTTGAATTTATCAGGAGGGTTAGTAGAGCATGTAATATTAGCAATATATGCATTTCCTTACTTCAAACCTTGCCTTCCCCTTAGAACCCTTTATACTCCCTCTTGTCGTTTAATCTACGATAGTAAAGCAAACAATAATACAATAAATGGCACATAATAGCCAAAAATAACCCGTAGAGAGAAGGGCCCATTACCAAATCACAGACAAACGCATCATATACTACGCTTCATCTCACTTCACGCGTCACTAAACATGATTATATCATCTAAATTTCTTCTTCTCAATTGTGTGGAAAGTTACACGCAAACCAGATGTACGACAGCTAATGAAAAGTTACGCCCTCAGTGCCTTTGCATAGCTTTTCTGTATCCACGGCCGCAGGTCATTCCTTTCCGACCTTCTGATATAAGGCCGCATATTATATCCATGAGACGGACCCAACTAAATACGACCCGAGTCGTCTCATGATATCTGCCAATAATGGCACTAGGTCGTAGTCTATAGAGTATCGAGGGAACTCGTTTATAGCTTGTCGTAGTACTGTAACGTATTGTTAGCATATGACGGATTCCGCAAAACAGAGGGGTTTTAACTTACGTTGTTGACATCCGGTACCTCGACCTTGATACCCTTGCGCTTTCGCATGGCCTCGACGATTTGTCCGACCTTGGTGGTCTTGTCGAGAGGAGATCCACCGGGTAGTAATTGCCAGTGGTCGAAGACGAGCTGAGGGAAAGCCTGGCCGGAAGTGGCTTGTCGGAGATCGCCGTTGAAGCCGAAAGACTCCATGATAGGCAGGTAAGCCTTGATTGTGAAGAGAGGAGTACCAGGTCGTTGCTCCTCGTTGAAGACGTGACCTCTTCGTCGGGTAAGGACACCGTAGACACCACCCATGGCCTGCTCGGGGACCTGGATTTCTACTAGGTAGACGGGCTCCATAAGAGCGGGCTCAGCAAGTAGCGTAGCAGCGTACAGAACACGTCGGGCAGTGGGGATGATCTGGCCACCACCACGGTGGATAGCATCGGCGTGGAGGGTAACATCGAGGATGTTGAAGCGGATGGATCGCATGGGCTCCTCGGCAACGGGACCTTCGCGGGTAGCCCACTGGAAACCGGAGACAACAGAATCCTTGATTTCGTTGAGGTACTGCACAGCCTTGGTCTGGTCAACCAGTAAGTTGGCGCCCACAGTGTCGGGACCGAAGCACCAAATCTTTCGGGCATCGGTGACATCCCAGCCGAAGTCGTCAGCCAGGGTACGGGCACGAGCCTTGAAATCGTCACGGGGTCCGATCTTGCCGTCCTCAATTGCCTTGGAGAGCTCCTCGTCGATGGGCTCAGCAACCATGTACAGACGGTTGTGCTTGTTGGGGGACTTGGAGAGAGCAGTGATGCTGGATTTGCCAGCAACGGTCTCTCGGTACTGGACGACGGGGTCGGAGATGATAAGAGGGACACCAGCGTGGTCCTCCTCGAGATCCTTCAAGCAAATCTCGAGATGCAGCTCACCAGCACCAGCAACGACGTGCTCACCGGATTCGGAGGTGGTAGTCAAGACACAAGGGTCAGACTTGGATAGACGCTTGAGACCTTCGACCAGCTTGGGAAGATCCTGGGCGTTCTTGACCTGGACGGATCGCTGGACGACGGGGGAGACGGAGAACTTCATGACCTTCAGGTTGTGGGCAGTCTCGAGAGTGGTAAGAGTACCAGACTTGAGCAGGAACTGATCGATACCGACCAGACCAACAATGTTACCAGCAGGCATGTCGTCAATGGGCTCGACCTTGCCACCCATCATCAGAACAGTACGCTGGATAGCCTTGATGAACAGGTCCTCCTTCTTTCCGGGGGTGTAGTTGGGGCCCTGGATGCGGACCTTAAGACCGGATCGGACGGTACCGGAGAAGACACGACCGAAGGCGTAGAAACGACCCTTATCGGAGGTAGGCACCATCTTGGAGACGTAGAGCATAAGGGGACCCTTAGGATCACAGTCTCGGATACCAATGGCGGCCTCATCATCAGGGGGACCCTCGTACAGAGTCTCAGCACGGTACTTCTGGGCGGTGACGGGGGAGGGTAGGTGAAGAATCATCATTTCCAAGAGAGAGTCAGCAGCGGGAAGGAAGGTTCGCATGACAGCCTTGAGCAGCTGCTTGCCTTCCTTATCCCTGTCCTCAGAGGGGAGCTTGAGGTCGAGCTTGGAGAGGAGGGTGTTGATCTCGTCCTTCTTGGCGTGGTTCACAGCCGCGAAGATCTTGAAGATAGGGTCTAGGATGAACTGGTTGAAGGCACGCTCCAGAGGCTTGCCATCGTGAGTGCCCTTGTTGGTCCACTTCTTGGTGGCGGCGTTGAAGTAGTTGTCACCCTATTCCATCAGTTAGCAGTGTGCAAGGCGAGAGAGAGATAGAGCGATAGACCAGCTCAGGAATCAAACTTACCCATAGACGCTCCATCATCTTGTTTCGGTCGACACCGAACTTCTTGGCGTATCGGATAGCGAATTGACGGATGGTGAAGGCCCAGCCGTGGAGACCGGAACCGAAAGCAACGGTACCCTTCTCGGGGTAGACCTGGATATCACCCAGGGACTTGTCAAGATAAGTAGAGATGATGACGTTAACCGACTCAATTGTTCGGGAGAAGGACTGGTAAAGGTCCTCCTTGGAGACCTGCAGCTCGAGAAGAGCACGGTCGACCTTGTTGATGACGACAACAGGCTTGATTCGCTCAGCGAGAGCCTGTCGCAACACAGTCTCGGTCTGGACACAGACACCCTCGATGGTGTCGACGACAACGAGGGCACCATCAGTGACACGCAGGGCAGCAGTAACTTCAGAAGAGAAATCAACGTGACCAGGCGAGTCGATGAGGTTGATCAAGAAATCTCGGCCATCGACCTTCTGGCCAACGATGTCCTTCAGGTCATCGTCGGAGGGTAGGTTGCCGTACAGGGAGATGGCAGTAGACTTGATAGTAATACCACGCTCCTGTTCGTCAGCTCTCGTATCCGTAGCTCGGGCATCACCAGCTTTCGCGGTGGAGATGATACCGGCTTTGGCCAAGAGAGAGTCGGTCAGGGTAGATTTGCCGTGGTCGACGTGGGCAATGACGGACATGTTACGGACATTGGTAGGCTTGTCCATCAGTTGCCTGATCTCGTCGATCGTGAAGCTATTCGGAAGCGCATGTTAGCTCTGGGAGCGGATGGATGGATGGATGGATGTAATGGATGACTTTGCTTATCTCCGAATGGAGGGTGGGGGGTTTTGTTTGAGGTTTAGGCATCGTGAAAGGATATGAGGAGAGGAGAGAGGGGATGGGATGGGATTTCTTAGGCGCGTATAGTGATAGTGATAATGACGATGATGATGGCGATGGAATGGAAAGGGGAGATGAAGCGACATGATAATAGCTGAAGCAAAATGCGATGATGAGAACTTACTTGACCATCTTGGCGGTATTGATGCGAAAAAACTACTATGTGTTTTTTCTTTTTTTCTTTTCTTTTCTGATCAACTGGTGATGAAAGCGGGGTGAAGATTTGTGTCGATGGAAGTGACCTTATTGCACTTCACTGTCGATACAAATCACCAGCGAACTCTTCTAGAGAGTATCGGATAGTGAGAAAAAGTGGTAAGAAAAGGAAGAGAAACGAAGCTTTCAAGTGCAAAGTCGCAACCACCGACGACTAGCTTGTTCGTGCTTCGAAGGAAAGGAAAATTTGTTAAATTTGTCGGGGCAGAGTTGGGAAGGAGGGGTACAAGAGGAGAAAATTCACAGCCGGCCTAGACGGGCTTAAGCGGGGCAATGCCCAAGCCCAGCCAAAGGTGCTTATCCATCCATCCAAGTGACATCAATTTTGTACTGTCTGACTACTAATCTCTGATGTATTTTGTGGTCTGGTGGGGCAATTGGCTGTTCCTCCTTCCTTTGCTGCCCTCTGCGGCAAATTCCCGGGTTAATACCCAATCAAAAATTCAAACAGGATAAAAACAATTTCAGCTTATCCAGGGTTCTAGCCCTCCTACCTAGGTACTTTTTTTTTTTTACTGTACATTAGGTATTGTAGGTATCTACCTGTATCATTAATTCAACTCGCCTAACATAAAGCTTAGGGATAGGTAGGTACCTAACTAACATTCGACAACAGCTGCAAATAAAACACTACAGTACCTAAAAACCAAGCAGGATCAGAATAAAAAGCATTCGAGGTATTCGAGCTACAACATACGATATTCAGACCCTGTGACGGTACGACCTTTACGGAGCGGGCATTGTGGATTTTCTCTTTTGGCCTCCTACCATATAGGAGGTACTTCTTGATCCATACCTAGGTACCTACTCTTATTCGGTGTGACTATTCTCCATTATGCAAGATGCATGGGGAACATGAACCCATCTATGCATGTACCATCTTCACAATTTATACCAAACCTTGACTACCTAGGTATTTTGGCTTTTGTGCTTTAGAGCTTTAGGGAAACTTGAAAGACCTGAAATCTTCCAATGGCCGCGTGGCAATTGTTGGTTAGGTGATAAATAGTAGGTTAGGTAGGTATCAGGCAGTACGTTCGAATATTTGCTGTAGGTACCTAGCTTACATAGTATACCAGGAAAACCGGACTACCTCGTTTTCAAACCTTACTATGCTAGGTATATGCTAATGAACCCGGTAAATTCCATTTACGTCCAGCTGATTGGATACATATATGTAGGTCCTGGGTAAGCCGGGTGAGTCAAGCAGATTAGTTTGCCTTAATTTGAAGTCCAAGTAAGGTATACTGCGAACAGCGCCACAGCTATATCCTGATCTAGAACCGTACTACTGGGTCTCCTTGAATAGGTACAGTAGCTATGTAAGCAGCTAGTCAAGCTCGTGTGTTAAGGATGCTTTAGGGCAAAGTGCCCTTATTGCCAAAGGAGAAAAAGAAAAGAAAAACTAAAAAACCTGAAACCTTTAACCTCAATCTAGCTCGATGTAACCTTACGAAATGTATAAGAGCGTAACGTCCTAATCATCACTAAATTAAATGATTTTCACACTGTGGATACATGCTACATAGTATGCGTCGTATCAAAAATTCGTACCGAATACTGCGGGTACTGGCAGGCTGGTAACTTCATACTCTTTAACCGGCTACAAGCCGGTAAAAATTGCTGCGCCCCGGAACTAGTCTCCACTAATCCGGAACCGGAGACGCGCAAGCAACCCCGGTCGTTCGGCATCACGTCATGTGAAAGTTTATATACCTAAGTACTTTATGTGTATCTCCTTTTACGAGTTATTCCAGCACTCAAAATTCAAACATCATCACCTAGATACCTAAGGTAGGAATGTTCGTACCGCAGAACAGTAGCTAACGAAATGACTACATTCACTTTCAACTATTACCATTATTTCGCATTGTACTGGTTCCAGATAATCGATAATCAGCTGTCTGACGCAATATTGAATAGCTTTTACCAGTTAACTAGTTATCGATTTTCTAAAAAGTTGGCATATGTACAATCTCTGGGCTATCTTGCCGCGGTGATCTGAGCTGATCAGGTCTGCTAACCGCAGAAAAATTACTCGTAGGTAAAGGTATAGGTATCTTTCTTTTACACTCCCATTTCACTGCCAATCTACGCCACTATCGCCGCCCCACGCCCGACAAGGTATGATTACTTCTGAACTATCTACGCCGTTAGCTGCGCGACCGCGGGGGTTTGCTTTTTTTTTTTTTTTTAAACAGTGCTACCAACGGCCTGATATCAACAGCTGCATGACACCACGTGAGACCACTAGTAGGTATCCCTGGTGTATTAGGCACGCCATCATCAACAGCTTTCTTCGCAAATGTATCTGAGGGTATTCGTTACGTACAACTCTGATTACTAACCGGAAAATCGGAATCGTGCACCCTCCAACGCTCCTAAGCCGTCCCGGGGTGCGACATATCTCCTTCTGTACGTATTGGTGAAATCCTGGAGAATTGAGCGTATTTGTCGCACGTCACCTGTATCATTGGTGCTCAGCTTCTCCTTAATCTTAGTCATGAGTCGATCAACTTCTGTGGCTGAGACAGTCCCCTCCGGTAGCAATCGGAGCGTTTGGTCCACCCACGCGGCTGTCTGCTCCGGGAAAATCTCGAATAGCGTTAACAAGGCGCCACTAGCATCAGCGAAACAATCTTTCGGGAATGTGATCATCATGCCAGCGAGTAAGCGTTTGATCAATGTCTCCCCTTGGGCTAAGAGGAGCTGCTTCACAATAGCTTTTAGCTGTTCAGCCACCGGAGCCGGCATTTTGTCGTATGGCGGAGGCGAAAATGCGGTGCCCCATCCGAGAACATCTCGGATATAATGAAGGGTAGCAGATAAAGGTTCGCGTTGCTCTAGGATGAGAACGGAGAGGGCGGCTTCGAATACGGGACCGAATATTGATGAGGTGATGAATTTCTGAGGATAGTATAAGAGTCCGTCGACAACTAGGCGGAAGAAGTCCTCGGTTACATCCGGGAGGTCTGCCGGTGATAGCGCGCTGAGGAAACGGAGAACATTTGTAGCTTGAGCCTCAAAGAAAAGATAGATGTGCTCTGTCATAGCCTGTTCCACGTGCTCTCGATCATCAGAGAATTCCCGCAGGATAGCACCGGTGACCCATAGGAAGCAACCTTGCTTTGATGCGGTAAAGCCATTCGCCAGCTGATTCGCCATATCAGGGAGAATTGGTGCCATAGCTCCCCTGTGGGAAATCACCATGAATCTCCAGCAACGACATATTCGTTCGCAGATGGGAGTAAAGTCGAGGAAGCTTTCCAGAATCTTAGATAATATCGGGAAAACCTCTTGCCAGTATTTCACCGCTGGATCCTCCTGTCCAGGCGCAACGGGAGGTAGCATGACGACAATTTGGGCGAATATTGTAATCAACTGTAAATGGTCAGCAACTGCGAGTTTTTTCTCCTTATCTACCGCCTCGTTGGCCTTAGCCATTAGCCTTTGGACTAAGGGATCGCAGAAGAGCTTGAGTAGTTTGAATATCTCCTCCTGCGGCTGCACAGATACTACCGCGGCGACTCCTTCGGTGATCTCTTCTTGGCTGAGCCCGGGAAGCTTGTCTAGGATTTGGTCGTAAAATTGTTGAAGTTGAACGATCTGGTCGCCGAGGAGGTATCTGCAATCCATACAGAAATATTTAATCGCCATGGCGGCGGCTCCCATAATTTCCTTTGAGCTTGTGTCGAAAGAAGAAACGATATAGTTAAACTGCGAACTGAGAAACTCTGGGTGGGCAGCTGTCCACTCCGTGTATCTTCCCAGCACCATGATTGTTGCAAAACGCAGTTTCTCATGGGCTGGTATTTGTACCAAGAGAGGCATGAGTTGAGGTAAAACGGTCTCTTCGTCCTTCGTCACCATGCGGCCCATAGCTCTCATAGAGAATAAGGGTGCTTCAAGCTGTTGCCAATGAGGCACTGAGGCACCGCTCGCCAAGCTTGCGTATTTCTGCATCCAAACCTTGATGGCATCAAGAACCTTTGCCAAGCACTCGGAAACACCCATGATCTCGCAACAGTCCTTTAGGGTGTCACCCATATGGTGACGGAACTCCCGGAATTTCTCTTCTGCCTCTCTGTCCCCGTCAAACAAATCCTTTTCGTTGCCAGATTCCGAGTCGGGGTACTCGAGATGTTTGAGGAGAATATCGACAAGTTTCGCAAAAATATCTAAGAGCGCCATACGAGATTGTACGTATTTGTCTAGTACGAGATACTGCTTCAGTTCGTACCAGACCTCGAACGTGTACTCGATGACTTCTCTGTCCTTATCCCTCGCAGCACACTCAAGAATAGCATCGACAAGGGCTCTGAAATGGCTAGGTTCGCGTGCAATAGCGACGGCCCATGCAATACCAGCCTCGCCAAACAACTTGGTGAGAGCTTTATAGGACTCGAAATCTTCATCTTCGGCTACTTTTTGAATCTTGGGCTGCAGAGCAACAACTCTCGGTAAGAGTACCTGGATAGTTTCGATATTATCGTCTATCTCTCTCGTCTCCCTGACCATGGTCTGGATGCACTCGGCAGCTGCAGCAAAGGAGACATCGCTCTCAAGAGCATTGAAGACGATGTTTAACAGCGGGGACTTGACGATCTCATTGACGGGAACCTCGCGTAACCAGGACGTTATGCATTCGAAAAGCTGAGGATTTGTCGCAGCCGCCGCTATTCTTATATATTAGCTGCGTCTGTCGTAAGGCTGGACTGAACTTACGTGATGAGTGGGCATAATTAATCAGGAGCTGCACCACCTGCGGAGCATTTCCTTCTAGTAATTCGGTGGTTCTCAATGTGAGTTCTTCATCCTAAATGTTAACTCATTAGACTTCCCATTTATTTCGAACCGAAAAGACGCTTGGAACGTCCTCGAGGGAGAAAGAAGTAAGGGATATTCTTTTTCTTCGAAATAATCTCGATTTACGTACTGTCAAGGTGATTTTCCGTCCCTCGGTCACTTCTTCCGGTAGCACCCTGAGGAAGTCCAAGATGCAGGTATGACTTTCGACATCATCGCCAAGAGATGATACGACAACAGGCAGTACGTCTTTCCAGTCTTGCATCTGTATGGCTAGGATTGCCAAGCACACGCATAATTGTACCCTGATCGGCTTCGGGCCTGGCGCAAAACGTTTCAGAAGCGCTAGTAATTGAGATCTCACGGCTGGGATTTCAGGCGCAGGTACTTGTGTCGATAGGTCGTATGTTATCTTGTAAATGTGTTGCCCCGTCAGCTTCGCCGTATGTTACAGTAAAAGACTCTTGTTCTAAACTAACCTTCCCTCTTAGTGTCGTCGCGGCGAATAATTTTATGTCCGGTTCGGCGTTTGACTGGAGTATGGTGATGGTCGTAGTCCATGCTGCCGACTGTGGCTTGTATCAGTAATGACGTACGAACGAGGATTGCATAACCGATTTGGGCCGTATACTGACGGATTTCTGGAAGAGCTCTAGATATTCATGGGCTTTCTTCTTCTTGTCTGAGTCCCCACCCCGCATAGTCAGCATAGCCTGGTGCACCTCATCGGGTCCGAAACCCTGCTGCGTTCCGTTCGCAGCCATGATGCGCAAATATCGATTCGGTCGACGGCCGTGGGGTGGGCACGCAGGTCAAGAGCAAGCGGCGGGCTGTTAGTATTGGGAATCGGTCGCAAAAGTTCGGTGGAAATGGTAATAAGAATTATGATTTGGGATGATGCACCAACGCCGAAGAAATGCACCTGGTAATGCGGCTGTTTATAGAGGAAAGTTTGAAGCGGTTCAGGTTTCTCGCTAAACTTTCCGTAGGTTTCGTAGGCGCAAGATTTTATTATACGTGTCGGCGTAGAAGGGAAAGAGGGGCCAAAATAAGAAACATCCATCAATCAGTGCTTTGCGGTTGCCATGTGAGCCTGAAAGTTATGGAGCTTTGCTTCAAATGTTCGTTCCGTGGCTTGACATGGAGGGGTCCAAAGGCGAAGTGTGGCTGACCTGAGCCTACATAACCTTCAATGTACTTCGTACATAGGTACGGTTTACATTAGGTACATACTTCGTAGGTATGTAATTAAAGTGGATCCACGGATCCGTAAATTGTTGATGTTCTAACATTGAAATGTTCTTAGCTTGCTACATACAGTTTACACTTCGAGCTTACCTCTCTCAGCCTTCTTTTCCGCCTCGCCCAATTTATCATTACCCAAAAAAATCGTACACGATCCGTTGATAAGCACACGCGCCATCGTTGCACCGTCCGATTATACATTCAACCAAGACATCAACAGAAGATATCTAATACCGACTTACTCCCAAACACGTCAAGATGACTGGTCGTGGTGGCGGTGGAGGGCGCAAGATCTTGCTCCCCCCCATCAATTTCATTTTCAAGCTCCTCCAAACACACGCGACCGTTAAGATCTGGTTATACGAACAATTGTCAATCAGGATCGAGGGGAAAATTAGGGTAAGTCACCGGCTGTTTCTCTTACTCTCTGTTGTCTATTGGCTTGTGCTAATATAATACCCTTGTCCCTAGGGATTCGACGAATTTATGAATCTCGTTATTGATGACGCGGTTGAGGTAAAGCAAATCACGAAGACGAACCCAGAAGAGAAGCGCAGACCCTTAGGTATGAACATTACACCGAAACAGGCGTTATCCTTTATAATTGACGGTTTTATAGGTCAAATTTTGCTGAAAGGCGACAATGTATGCTTGATTCAAGAAGCCGTATGAGACGTTAAGATATGATCTTAGTTGGAAGGTAAATTTATTGGGGGTTTGCTTTTACACATGTTCCCCCGAGGATATCATTGCTGATAATAATGGACACCCGAAGTTGGTCGAGGTATACTCATTTTAGTTTGCATCGCCGTTATTCGCAGACTCTTTGATTTGGCCGTCTCCGAGAAACAGGCCATCTATTGGTTGATCATGGGGTCCAACTGGGACAGATTCTCCTGAAGACGGGGAGAGGAGCTGTTCCTTCAAAGCTAGAGCATATAGCAATACAGCTGGTCGGCCATTTCGTGTCTCCTCTTCATGTGAAGCAGCCAATGCATATCGATGGAGGAAATAATCGTAGAAGCCTTTGCCATGCCCTAGCCTTCGGATAGCCTTAGACTCTGGATCGACATCGAAGGCAACACCGGGCATAAGGATTAAGTCTAGCAAGACGTCCGTAGATCTTTCTCCGTCGAGTTCACCCACGCTTCGCTTTCTTTCGTGTACCGTAGAGGCGTCAACACTGGGGATGCCCCACTTGTCTCTTTTTAGAGACTCGTAGTCCTCGACGTCTTTTAGACTTACCATATCCATAAGTCTCGTCGGGCCATCACTTGGTTGCAAGCCGGATTTGTGTAAGTACGGCACGAACACCTGCTTGCCCGAAGACAAGGCATGTCTGACAATATAATCTGTTTGGATTTCCCCACCGGGCATAGACAGGTAGACCGCTACCCTCTTTGCATCAACGTACGGCTTGAACTTGCATAGTGAATCAAAGACTTTGTTGCCTGTGTGGAAGGTTAAATACCGATGAGTCTTTATATGCATAATGCTGTATTTTATAAAGTAGCTAACTTACTTTGAGATAAGATGGTTTCTTGTGAAAGGTTTGCGAGCCGCTGCTTCATTAACGAGCGAAGCTGTGACTTGGCAGCACTCAAAGCAGCAGAATTCATCTCTGGCTCCTGCGACATACTCTCCAAAACTATTGCAACCGAGTACTATGTATTATAAGATCCCCGCTATAAGTTGTGAAAGTTACACCTGTCTTGGGACCAATAGGTGTTCCGTTATGTGGTGAGGTGCATACCTAATGCTAGGTACCTAAGGTAAGCTTCCGAGAATCTACCTTCTTCAGTCATGTACACTACTACCGAGATCTCATTAGTACCTACATGTAGATGTGACCGAAGATCGGAACTAGTGTTGACCGGGCCCCACTACCTAACCTAACGAATTAGGGCCTACAGCAAAATGAATCTGTTTTCCAGGGTTATCTTGTCTACTTGAAATATTACTATGTATGCCCAATGTTACATTCAAGTTAGGTATTTGATTTATCGACATTATCAGCAACTTATGCTCGTGAGTACCTAAGGTAAAATAATGGTTGCATTAACAGATTACTTAAGACTACCTACCTTAGGTAGGTACCTAGTGTAATGCAGGTAGGGATTATATACTGAGGTCATGGACGCCACCCCGAGCTGCGCTCTCCTCTCTGTACAGTATTATCTTTTTAATCTAATCAATCAAATCTCTTGATCGTACAACCCGTGTGATCAACCGAATTCAACAGGGGAAATCCCACTTAAGCGAAGGTTAATTAGTGGTTGAAAGAGTCTTCCTTGCCTGCCCGCTATGACCTATCCTATCCGCTTTGCATAACATATCGGGCGAGCTGCAGAGTGCTGGATGCTGCTATGCTACTATTGCATTATTACATGTAGTACAGGGAGGTAGCTAGCATGCTTTGGCCCTGTCCGCCTTGTAAACCCCCTGTACATAGTAGTAAACCCTTCCCGCTTTGGATGTTACGGTCGCGCCTTTTTTTTGTTCTCTTTTCTGCTGCTGTGGCACCAATCTTAAAACAGCTTTCCATATACGATGGCTGGACCTCACCTCCGCCAAACTTCAATTGGTAAATCGAAAGAAAGGTATGCAAGGTACTACAGACCAGTAATTCAGATGTGCCATTACTCATATTTATACGTGCATAGTTATATCGTATATACATAGTACACATAGGGAAAGCTCGGGTAAGGTTTTACCTCCACTCTTTCCCGTTCATCCTCGACCTCGAATAAAGTCTCAAACCCACTTTATTCTTTTTAGTCCTACCTATACCTATGCAAAATAGGGCAAGCTGGGCAAGTTACACCGGTGATATACTTTAACTAGTTTAGCACTGTCTGGATACTACCTAACCTAGAGGTACCTAATGTAAGCTTAATGCAAAATCCAGCTTCCCTCTTTCCGCGCGTGGGATGATATGACCAATATGACATTTCGCATTTTGCAACTACGTAACGAAAGCAGGGAAAGCAGGGATAATAAATCGCTTATGCCTCTAGACCCCGATAATGTCCATGATATCCACAATGTCCACCATAGTCACCATTCACAGTCCTTCCCATTACGACCCATAAACATCAATACTTCTACTGGTCGCTCCGCTTTACCCGTTGATGTCTCAAACCCCACGTCGCCAACCTCTCCTCATGGTACAAATAGTGCTGCCTTCTTATCAAGTTCGACAGAAACTTCTCCTATTAGAAGTCCTCGATCCCCCTCCAGCACGAGCCATGACTCCGAACCTATCCGACTCCACCCCAGCTCTAGTCGTGGATCAAGGATCATGTCGAAAGCTCCCCTCTTGATCCGTTCCTCACCCGGCTTTGGTACGGGTTCTTATGGAGCTGCCCCTATTCATCCCGAAGTCAGGGATTCCGACAGCGACGGTGAAGATCCGGAGCTACCCAGGAGACGAAGCAACTCAGAAAGTTATTGTTCCGGACCGCGGCATTCTACCGATGCCTACCGCTCGACAGGTTTCCATGGGAGGACATCGTCTCTAAGCCGCCGTAGAAGAAAGAGCCAGCCTGAAGAGATTGGAGGGTCAACGGTGGTCGGTGGTCTCGAGGGTCGATTTGGTGTTAGTGATACGGCTGTAACGAACGGTATAGCTCCAGATGCCAAGTCAGATAGCTCCACCGTAGACAACGAAGACGGTTCTGACGATGCGAACGAAGGAGACGATATAGACCCTCCTGACAATTCACCTTATGCTCAAGTCCGCGCCTCAGTTTCACCTACCGATAATACATCCCTATCTATAAATACTCCTCGCATGTGGACATTATCCACATTATTCTCTATACTTGGTTCTTCTACAAACCTCTTCTTTTCCTTGAGATACCCTAGCGTTGCAATTACACCCGTTATAGCGTTGCTTCTTGTTCATCCACTTGGTCTTTTATGGGACTACGTTTTGAAACGATCAGACGATCCGCCGGAAGAGTTTGAGGCTGGCGTACGGATATCTGGCCTGACCTCAAATGGAGGCAGTCAAGCACCAGAAACCCATAAGGAGAGAACCCGCGCTGGGCGCCTTCGCTTATGGCTTGCCCAGGGGACTTGGAATGAAAAGGAACATAGTTGCGTCTATGTGAGCAGCAATGTCTCCTTTGGGTTTGCATTTGCGACAGACGTTATCGTTGAGCAAACTCAATTTTATAAACAGGATGTAGGCATCGTTTACCAACTACTGCTTACCCTATCGACCCAGATTCTAGGCTATACATTCGCAGGCCTAGCGAGACGATTCTTGGTACGTCCGGCTGGAATGATCTGGCCTGGTACGTTAATGTCTGCTGCAATGTTCACCACGTTACATAAAGAAGAGAACAAGCCCGCAAACGGATGGACTGTAAGTAGGTGGAAATTCTTCTTCACCGTCTGGATAGCCGGGTTTATCTTCTACTTCCTTCCCGGGCTACTGATGCCGGCACTCAGTTATTTCAACGTGATTACGTGGTTTGCCCCAGACAACGTTGTAGTGGCGAACCTATTTGGAGTCGTTTCCGGCTTGGGCCTGTTTCCGCTCACCTTTGACTGGGCACAGATTGCATACATCGGGTCGCCTCTTCTAACGCCCTTCTGGGCCGCTATGAATGTCATCGGCGGTTTGGTAATAGTAATGTGGGTTATTGCTCCAATTGCGTATTATTGCAATCTATTCTACTCGTCTTATATGCCGATTCTCTCAGCGTCGGTCTTTGATAATACTGGAAAGATATACGATGTCAGCAGGATCTTAACCAAAGATTTTTACTTTGATAGAGAAGCCTACTCAAACTATAGTCGAGTATTCTTACCAATCACCTATGTCCTTAGTTATGGACTTCAGTTTGCCGGGCTCGCATCGCTCTTGACGCATACGGCTTGCTGGCACGGCAAAGATATTTATGTACAATGGAAGCGTTCTTTGCAAGAAGTAGGAGATGAAAGTAAACCAGCGTACCAACCGCTTGAGCGCGATATCAACGAGGGTGCTACTAATGAAGATCAGCCTAGCACCACCAGGACCAGCTCCACGTTCGATGATATTTTGAGTCACGAAGACGTTCATAATCGCCTTATGAGGAGATATAAGGATGCTCCGATAACGTGGTATTTGCTGACGTTCGTATCGATGACAGCGATAGGTATCTTCATCGTCGAATAGTGAGTCTTCTTCTTCATCCTCGGTATCAGGACTCGCCGCTAACATCTAGATAGCTATCCGATTCATTTGCCATGGTATGGGCTTCTGCTCGCTCTCGGAATATGTGCGGTCTTGTTTATACCGATCGGCATTGTTATGGCCGTAACGAATCAACATAGCAGCATATATCTAATCTGTCAGCTCATATGCGGTGTCATTTTCCCCGGCAGGCCCGTTGCTAACATGGTCTTTGTGACCTATGGCTATATTTCGTCTGCCCAGGGTATTAAATTCGCAGCAGATTTGAAACTGGGACACTACATGAAGATCCCACCGAGACTTTTATTCTCGGTACAGATGGTCGCGACAATTGTCTCGTCAATCACGCAAATCCTAGTCCTAAACTGGATGTTTCGTAACGTACCAGGGATTTGTACACCTTCAGCCATCAACGGCTTTACTTGTCCGATCGCTCGTGTCCACTTCAACGGGTCTATCCTATGGGGCGTTGTCGGGCCAGCCGAGTTCTTCGGACCTACTGCAACTTACCGCCCTCTGGTGTGGTGCTTTCTTATCGGAGCCATCGCCCCGATCCCGCTGTGGTTATACGGGCGCAATAAAAAGTCGAGCATCGTCCGAAAGATCAACTTGCCCGTCCTCTTCGGGTCTCTCAGCTGGATCCCGCCGGCGACCGGTCTCAACTTCTCGGTCTGGGCCGTGGTATGCTACATATTCAACTACCTGATCAAGAATAGGGCGTCGGCGTGGTGGGCCAAATACACCATGACCCTCAGCGCGGCGCTGGACTCGGGCCTGGCGTTCGGCATCGTGATCGTCTTCTTCGGATTCATATATCCGGGCTGGATGGAAGGGTTCAGGTGGTGGGGGACGGACGTCTATAAGCAGGGCTGCGACTGGCAGGCTTGCTCGTATAATACGGTGCCTAACGGTAGTCATTTCGGTCCAGATAAATGGTAGATTACGATGTGATGTAGATTCCAATCATTGCGCAAGACATGAGTATATGTATGAATGGATTAGGTTAGGTAGGTTAAGGTACCTATGGATGGGTGGATGGATGGGATTGGCATAGGCATAGGCATAGGCATCTATGTGCCACATAGAAATCTAAAGCTCGCTTCAGAGTACCTAGAAGCTAGAATAAGAAGACCAGATTCGAACACCATAATATTTTTCTCGTGATAATTATATTTATTGCAAGGAGACGAGAACGAAAGATGAAAGTTACTCAAAGAGCTATTTAATGCCTACCTACCTCCTAAGAGTATATTTATTGATTTTGCACCTCTACAAAACCTCCCCTGGTGTTATTCAAAAGCTCAATTATATCACATTTATTCATCATAAGTGCAGATAAATCTAGACTTGACGAGACTTAAAGGGGGCTTATAATTCAAGCTATCCCATACACATTACATAGTTGTGCCCTTACCCCTTAACGGGCGAGCAAAAACTAAACCTTTGCTACTTACATTAGGTAGGTCTAGGTAGGTACACAAGTGATAATTCCAAATAATGAGACGCCTCCGTGCAACCTTGAAGTCATTATCGCGTCTCCAGAAAAAAAAAGACTTATTTCGACCTGAATAGCATAAGGCTAACATATGGTATCAGTAACATTCCATCAATCGGGCATTAAAATCCCCCTTTCAATAAAATAATATGCTTCTTCTCAGAATAGCAAAACTAGAGCTATTTGGGTTCCTCAAAAAATCTTATGAATCCGATATAAACCGACTTCACTTCTTTGGCTCGATCACCTTGGAGGCTCTGGCGCCGGGCGCCTTGCCGCTAGTTGGGGCGGCGGTATAAGAAGCCGGGATGTTGTTTTGGACAGTCTGTCGGGCGTCGCGGAACATGTCGAAGCAGCCAGCGAGTACGGCATTGATGTCATGATCGGCAGGTACGAGAGCCGTGTCGACGATAGACTTTATGTGCTCCTCGAGCTTGTAGAACTCGTTCCTGTCCGAGCGGTACCGGGCTGGCAGGCCGCTGTTGTGTAGCAAAGCGAGAATGCCACCTACACAGGTGTTGATCGCGGCGATAGTAGTCTGTTTATAGGAGATGTATTTATCAGTCTTGTGAAGCCCCCTTGTTGAAAAGGGGCTGTCTATTTGGTGGGGAAACTGTATTCATTCACTTGTGTCATGACGGCTATGGCGGCGTCACTGAGGCGGTACCTAAACTTACAATTGGCGTCCCATTCTTCGCCGAGGACACTGACCCGAGGGCAGTCAAGACAGCACCCATTGCAATCTGGAGAAGCATCAAGAGCCAGCTGACGATATCCACGAAATGGAACATGTACGTGAACTTGGCCTTCTCGCTGAGTACGTCTTGGTACAAGCCGTCTCTGAATCCCTTTGGCGGCCACAAGGCACTGGTTGGACGGATGACTTCTTCGCTCTCGTCGTCCTTGAACACGCCAACGCCTCGGCAAAACTGAACCCACTCGACGTGCGTAAGTAGACGGTAGGTATCCTTTCCATAGTCCTTAGGTTTTGGAGGAATACTACCGCTGTTACCATTGTTGTTTGGCTTGGGAGAAGGGGGTGCAGAAGGCGGCTGAGAGGCCATTGCCGCGTCGAGGTTAAGACGTGGGATATGGGAACGATGAGGGTTGGTGTCCTTGGACGGGTAGATTGTGGACGCCATTTTCAGAGCGTACCTAAGGTAGATGAGATGAAGCAGGTTTGTAGGGAAGATGGGATGTAAATAAGAGATCCTAGAATTAGGTAGGATGCTTCAAGGGGGAATGCCATTTCCAGCTAGGATCTTTCTTGTCAAGCAAATTCCAAATTCTCTCAAGTCACGACTGCCGGGCGTATGGTTGTCTTAGGAGGCAGCTTCAAACGATGCTCAATGGTCTTCGGAGAGGCGCTATTAGGTTTTCTTCACTGGTAAGTGCTGGACACCCAGTAACTTATTTCCAGTGTCCTCGATATGTAAATGGTCTATAGAAATCTAATAATGATATTTGGAAATACTGGTAGGGGTGACCGTACCATACATAACGACTGCTCTAAAATCGAGGAATAAGGTAAGAAAGGCAACGAGCTCTCCCTGAGTCCCTTACCTGCCTATATGTATGATGGTGAGTTTGAGAATGATAAGAACGTACCTATTGTAACCTACCTACCTAGACCTAGACCTAATTTAACAGAAACGACAAGGCTCTTTCTCTTGAAGGTCCTCTTATACATTGCCGTTTCCCTTTTTGCACGAATAACCGTTTCAAAGTCTCGCCTACCTAAGTCATACCTGTATAGCCTTTCAAAGGAAGGAGTGCTGCCTGTATAATACCTTAGATAGTAGGTACTTCTATTAGGTTAAGTAGGAGGTACCTAGCTATACTACTATAGCCTATGATAGCTCCTTTGACCGCCCGGCAGAACACCTAAACGCCCCTCCAAGGCCCCACCCTCGTTAGAAAAAAAGATGGCGAGATGTAATTGAAGTTTATTTGTCGTAACTTATTAGACGCGCGCAACCTCAATACCTCCCATAATTCAATTGCATGCTCCTATCACTCTCCATAGCGCCCTCCCGATTAACGCTTCGGCATGTAACCCGATTTCTACGCACACCATATCTTTTTCGAACTGCTGCGCGAACCATGGCGTCGGAAACTAAGAACGGCTCTGCAATTGCGACAACCGATATTCCGATCATCACGAAGGACGGGCAAGAGTTTACAGAAGTCAAAGAGGGATTGGCTCGCATTCTAGTTCCCTTTTCTGCAAAAGATATCGCGGATAAGAAATCCAATATCGAGGAACAGCAAAAAGTTTTCTATAACCCCATCCAGCAGTTCAATCGCGACTTGACAGTTCTCGCGATCAAAGCGTATGCAGAGGATGTCTTTGCTAAGAGGCGGGTTGGGAATGCCGAAAGGGTAGCCAAGAGGAAACGTGAGAAGACTGATACTGATGGTCGCAACTCGAAGAAGGAAAAAGTAACAGAAAATGCAGACGGCGCTACGTCTACAGCTGACGATGCGATTAAGAATAATGGAGTTCAGCCAGACGACGCAGATGTAACCCTTCCAGATGCCGACCTGCCTGCCGAAAACTCACAGTCAGCCCAAGACCAAGAAACAAAACCTACTGAAGTAAGAAATAACCAACCCACCCCTAAATTCACCATTCTCGATGCTCTTTCGGCTACAGGGCTTCGAGCTCTGCGATATGCCCAGGAGTTACCATTTGTCACATCAGTCACTGCAAATGACCTTAGTCCATCTGCTGTCAAAGCGATCAAACAAAATGCCGAGCACAATGGTGTCGAATCCAAAGTGAACGCGACATCGGGCGATGCCAGAGCGCATATGTACTCTTTACTCACTCATGAACTGGCGGAAGAAAAGGGGAAAAACAAGAAGGGCGGTAATAAGCCAAACAAACCAAATAGCAAGTATAATGTGATCGACCTAGACCCGTACGGAACCGCTGCACCCTTTTTTGACGCGGCAGTTAACGCCGTACGAGATGACGGCGGTTTGCTATGTGTTACATGCACAGATTCGGGTGTCTTTGCGTCAAATGGATATCCCGAGAAGACATTTGCTCTTTACGGTGGTACCCCTGTGAAAGGATGGCATTCTCATGAAGCCGGGCTGCGCCTTATAATACACGGCCTTGCTTCAACAGCGGCGAGGTATGGATTGGCCATTGAGCCCCTCCTAAGTCTATCAATCGATTATTATGTCCGAATTTTCGTCAAGGTTAGGAAATCGCCGGCGGAAGTCAAGTTCCTTGCGGGGAAGACTATGATTGTGTATAGCTGTGACCAAGGGTGCGGCGCCTGGGAAACGCAATTCCTGGCGCGCAACAGGAAGACACCCAATGCGTCTGGAAAAGGCGTTTTTTATAAGCACGGACTTGCTATGGCGCCAACTGTTGATCAACTCTGCAAAGAATGCGGCTCGAAGATGCACCTTAGCGGTCCAATGTACGGTGGGCCACTACACTCTCCAGATTTCATCAAGAAAATCCTGGATGACCTACCCAATGCCCCTGACGAGATCTATGGTACAAAGCCACGGATAGAAGGAATGCTACAAACGGCCCTGGAAGAGTTTCTCACACCACCGGAAGATAGGATGGAAAGTCACAGAGAGGACGAATTCGCTGCGATAGAACATTATCCGTTCTATTTTCACCCTGCCAAGCTAGCGGGCACTTTGCACTGCATGTCTCCCGACGAGGATAGTTTCAGGGGCGCTTTGCGGTCCTTAGGCTACGAAGTTACTCGTAGCCATTGTAAAGGCGGTAGTATTAAGACCAATGCGCCATGGTCGGTCATTTGGCATATCATGAGGGAGTGGGTTCGCGAAAAGGCGCCTGTGCGTGTCGATAGAATCAAGGAGAATACACCGGCGTATACCTTGCTCCGGTTAGGCAAGACGGATGAAGCTACGAAGGAAAATACGGGAAAGGATGCTGAGCGCGAAGCAATCGATCAGCTGAAGGTAGTTTTCGATCAAAAACTTGGGCGAGACGCGTCCAAGAAGAAAGGCCTTGTTAGATATCAGACAAATCCCAGAGAGCACTGGGGCCCGCAGAGCAGAGCAAAGGCTCATTAAAATGGTAAATGGTAGACGGTAAACGGTAGAATAGGGAGTGTAGAACAGTTTCAAAGCCCAATACTACGGCTGGTCTTAGACCGGCTAATGATACCCTTTTATTTCGCCCTTACTTATTTCACCCTTACTTTGTTCACAAGTATATGCAGCTGAGTAAAGGGAATACGTTGCGATCGAAGAAATAGGGGAGCATGAACCCCGCTATATTATAGAGCTAACCCGCTATAAAATTACCTCTAGGTACCCAGGACCTGTCATAGTGTCGGAATCAATCAAAAACGCTTAGTATAGAATTATGCAAGACGACTAATGCAGCACATCATTATGGAAGGCTTACTTATAGTATTGCTTTTATAAGAGAGCGCGTTCTTATTAATCTTTTCACTTTTTTCCAACAAATATTAACCCTCCGATTCGGGATACGATTTGGGATATAATATTCTTGTCATACGTAAGTGTGTGTCATTTACCTGCGGCGTAACATACGAAATATGGCTACCGGGCAACCCGAACAATACAACACCTTTGGTTCTATCAAGGCTGGGGAGATCATCTTTATAACACGACAGCCGGGGACACCAGGGGAACCGAACCTATTCAACGTATTCAGCCTTGGAGAAGAGACCGGAGACAAGGGCCCAACATTTGAACTATCCCAGTCGTCGGTAGCAGACGTGCCGCAGCCGTTCCTAGACGACTTCTTAATCGACGGTCTTCCGGATTATTTGAGGAGCAGTCCGTCGCGGCGCGTCCATGTGGTGGTGTCGACGGGTTCCGGGACGGGCCTTGCGCAGCGGTTTTATAGCACAGTCCTTCAGCGGCTTTTAGAGACTTGGGAGGAGGAGAAGAAGCACGATTCGGATCCGAGGACTGACTCGGCGGAAATATCGAAGCCGGAGAATTCGCATAATTTAGTCCTTACGAAGAGCGCTGATAGCGTGCGAGAATTCGCTCGCGAGACCAGCCGTGTTGGAGAAGGTGAAGACGGGGTGCAGCATACCGTGGTGCTCCTCAGCGGGGATGGGGGCGTTATCGAAATGCTCAATGGTCGAGTACCGGTAGAGGGGCACGAGTCAGAGGAGCGTCTGCCGTTAATTGCAATACTCCCGTTAGGCACTGGGAATGCGCTCTTTAACTCACTTCACAAGACCGCGGGCTCGGGAACAAAGTTCCCCACGCCGTCCAGTCTAGTCCAAGGCTTGCGCACTTTGTTCAAGGGTCGCGCTGCGGCGTTGCCTTCTTTTAAGGCGGAATTCTCGCCGGGCTCGCGCATTATAACTTATACCAGCCCGGAATCAGAGACCTCTGGCGACGCGGCAGAAATTGAAAGCCACGCCGACACCGTGTCTCACCTCTACGGGGCCATCGTTGCTAGCTACGGCTTCCACAGCCAATTGGTGTGGGAGAGCGACACGCCGGAGTACCGAAAGCACGGTGCTAAGCGCTTCGGTATGGTAGCGGAGCAACTCCTCAAGGAGAGCCACGCCTACAACGCCGCCGTTGAGCTTTCCGGAAAAGATGGTTCTCAGCTACAGAGGTTAGACCGGGACCGGCACGCGTACATCTTGGCCACGATGGTGTCCGACTTGGAGAAGACCTTCACCATCTCGCCTGCTAGCAGGCCCCTAGACGGTAAGCTAAGACTCGTTCATTTCGGCCCTGTCAGCGGAGCGAAGACTATGGAGATCATGACGCAGGCGTATAACGAAGGGAAGCACATCGGTATGAAGTGGACTGGAGAAGACGGTAAGGAGGAAGGAGTCGGATACGAAGAAGCCAAGGTGGTTAAGGTCACTACTTTAGAAGAGGACGCTAGATGGAGGAAGGTCTGTATCGATGGCACCATTGTAGAGCTACCGCGGGATGGTTCGATGATTGTTAAGACGGAAGATAGACCTCACTTGCGTGTTCTGGTGGATAGATCACTGGCTAGCTAGCTACCTACCTAAGGTAGGTACCTGTTAAGGGGTTCGCATCCATAAACACATTTATTGAATCTAAGCAAATATTAGATGGTCTTCAACGGATCCATCGCATCTAGCACCAGCTAGAGGCGCGCGTATGGTCCCGAATAGGTAGCATAGCAAATTAGCAATAAGACTGCCCGGGTACAGCGCAGCTACGCAGTACATACTCGCCGGCCTGAGTCATTATAGCTCTAAACCAGCCAATCAAGGAGCGCTTCCCCATGAAACAGAATGAATCATCCGCGCTACTGCAGCCAAGAGCGAATTCCGACGCCGTCGCATAGATCATACAAAGCACAATCGATGTACCGAAGGCTAGACTGGACCAGGTATGTAGATACCTAGTGAGGCTCAAAGGCATGAATTATATAGAGACAAAATGTAATATATCAACTGCGTCCCCCTTAGAGGGAGTGGAAAATCTAATTCAACTTGTCTATGGCGACCTAGACATTTTGATGTAGTACCTACCTCTTGCTGCAAATATGACTTCCATGGAAGCTGAGAGCGTTGCGACTATCGTGTGTACTTCGAAGCAAACACGCTTTAACATCGGAACTCTAAACTATCGCGAGGTAATAACCCTATCTGGTATTTTTCTCTTTATGTAAAAAAAAACTTCTAACATTAGGTACCTATATAATGATAGTTAGATATCGAAGGCCTAAATATAATCGTCAAGTCTGCACCTACGCCCGGCGCCAAAGGCAAGGCAAAGGCAAAGGCAAAGGGCGAGGGCACCGAGATCCTTAGCAATGCTAAGCTGAGGATCAAAGCTGGCCAGCGGTATGCGTTGATCGGAAGGAATGGCACTGGAAAATCAAGTAAGTCCCGTGTATTCTAGCGGAGGAGTCACAATCAGGGGTGGGAATATCGTGACTGATATAAGTTTTGACAGCGTTATTAAAAGCGATAGCGGAAAAACTCATACCAGGCATCCCAGAAGAGACGCGCATAACTATCTTGCAGCAGACCGGTGTTGAAGATGACAATGCTGACGAAGGGCCGGTCCCGGCTCCCAGTAAAGGTGAAGGTGAAGGTGATGGTCTTACTGTACTGGAGGAAGTTATTGAACGAGCGACGGCTAAACAGGAGGTGCAGAAAGAGATCAACAGTTCGTACTTCACCCTAGACTCATAAACCACGCAACTAATCAAGTCATAGTCTTATCAAACGGCGTCGACGGCGTCGATCCCTTCGGAGCCCTAAGGGCCTTCCGGAAAATCCATCACGAACGCCTGCAAAAGGAGTTATTCCTCAAGGATAAAGATGCCAGACTCCGCAGCGGCGCGAGAGGAATGCAAGCCAGGAAATCCCTAGTCGCTATGGAGAAGAAAGCCGCCGAGTTCCAGCGTGAGTACGAGCAGAAAGACGAGGATATTTCACCAGAAACGCTTGCGGACGAGACCAGCAGAGCCGCCGACATGCTTGCCGATCTCCAGCTGCAGGTTGAGCCGGAGAAACTGGCCGAAACCGAGTCGAAAGCAAAGAAGATCCTCGCAGGTCTCGGGTTCGCGGAACCTCGCATGGCGCAACGCGTTTCGAGCTTATCCGGCGGCTGGAAGATGCGGACGGCCCTAGTGGCGGCCCTGCTACAAGACACAGACATATTGATCCTCGACGAACCGACGAACTTCCTCGATCTCCTCGGGATAATCTGGTTGCAGCGGCACCTCGCAGCCCTCGCCGAGTCCTCCGCTCCACCCACCCTAATCCTCGTATCCCACGACCGGGACTTCATCTCCTCGGCATGCACGGACCTGCTCATCCTCAAGGACAAGGACCTAACGGCCTTCCACGGGGACCTACCAGCATACGAGTCTTCCCGCGCGGAGAAGAAAGCGCACCTGACGAAGATGAAGGAGGCGCAGGACAGGCAGAAGGAACACGTCCAGCAGACGATCCGGCGCAACATGCGCGAGGGCAAGGCCAGGGACGACCAGAACCGCATCCGCCAGGCCAAGTCCCGCCAGAAGAAGCTCGACAACCGGTGGGGGCTCGAGGTCGGCGCGCGCGGCGGCCGCTTCAAGCTCAACCGTGACCTCGCGGGGTACCACGCCGCGGCGCGCGCCGACGTCGAGGTGCCGCGGGACGAGAGGCGCGTCCGGCTCGCGCTGCCAGAGCCGGCGGAGCTGAGGTTCCCCGGGGCCCTGATTTCGCTGGAGAAGATGTCGTTCCGGTACGCGGGGGACGGCGCGGAAGGGAACGCGACGACGCCCCTCGTGCTGAAAGACGTGAGCCTGTCCGTGGGCATGGGAGACCGCGTCGGGATCCTCGGGCTCAACGGCAGCGGCAAATCCACGCTCGTCCAGCTCCTGGCGGGAGAAGCGAAAGCACCAAAGGGGGGAGCAGTGACGAAGCACCCCCGTCTAAAACTAGGCTACTACGCGCAGCACGCGGTCGACACGCTGCGGAAACTCGGCCAAGCGGACCCGGAACTCACAGCGCTCGGCCTGTTAATGAAAGAAGCTAGTGGTGAACGACAACATCAACAAGAAGAGCAGCAGCAACAGCAACAGGAAGAAAAAGGAGAGGGCGAGTTCAGAGCGCTCCTCGGCTCCCTCGGCCTGCCGGGCCGTCTGGCCTCCTCGGTGCCCCTGCGCGCGCTCTCGGGCGGGCAGCTGGTGCGGGCGGAGCTAGCGCGGATCATGGCGCGCGGGCGGCCGCAGTGCCTGGTGCTCGACGAGGTGACGACGCACCTGGACTACGAGACGGTGGCGGCGCTGCGGGAGGCGCTGAGGGGGTGGACGGGCGCGGTGGTGCTAGTTAGTCACGACCGGTGGTTTGTGAGGGGGGTGGTGGAGGGGATTACGGAGGATGGAGAAGATAGCGAGGAAGAAGGAGAGGGTGAAAGAGTAGGAGTAGGGGAGACGAGAGGGAGGAGGGTTGTGTATAGGTTGAAGGCGGGGGTTATGAGCGTGTTGGAAGGGGGGGTTGGGGAGTTTGAGAAGGGGGTTGAGAGGAGGGTGAGGAAGATGGAGAGTTTGTAGGCGGAGGGAGTTGGGGCTGAAAATTATGTGTATATCCCCCCTTTTTCTTCAGGGTTGAATATTCCAATTGCGTGTAATGAATACCTAGGAGGTAGCTTGTTGAATCTACCCAGCGGCAATGCTGGAGAATACTACGGTGGCGGAGTCTAATAAGCCTCGTAAGCACCGCCTGTAAGAAAGTCTTAGTCCGGCCTATATTGCCGTCTTACTCGCCCGTCCCTCCCAGACGTCGACTCCTTTGAGATCTTGGCGCTCCGTAAGATGAAATTCATTGACGCCCACCGTACCTATCCTTCCTAACTTCATTCCCCAAGAAGAGAATAATAAAATGAAAACGACAATATGTCTCATGGAATAGATCCCGATATTGAATGGCTTTTTGATCTTAACGGCAAACAAACGTACGACGATGCATTTCTCCCCTCAATTGATTTCGAACCCCCAAAGAGCTCCGATAACCCAATATTATGCGTTCGATGTCGCGCGGTTGGACATCAAGCTTCGGAATGTAGAACGGTGAAACATGATTTTACGCCTATGGAAACACTATATGTACTCGCGAGCACAGCGGATGATGCTCCCCTCTGCGATAGTTGCAGCCCCATATGGCCAGACCTCACGATTTTCATGGCTAAAAGAATGGAGTTTGGTAGTTACTTCAATCTCGGGTCTGCCATCCACAGAGTCCTTCGCAGTACTTGTCCTTTGTGCCGAATGGTTTTCGTATGTTTGGACGGGAGCACCATCCCTTCGACCGGTTTAGAGGATCTGGATATTTTTCTTTCCCCGCGGTGGGCCAGTGAAGCGCTGGGGTCGTTGTTGAGCTCATTTGACATGAAAGGATATCACGGGAGGTATTTGGCCGCAACCTTCGGGAAACTCAATAAGTACGGAACTATTGGGGTCTTGGAAGATCCAAAGAGCCCTGCCATGTGTCTGTCTGCCGGGGTTTCGGACGTGGACCTTCATATTAGACATTTGAATCCTATTAGGGTCGACATCGATATTGTTAAAGGCTGGATCGATGGCTGCGCCAAGCATCATGGTGCATCTTGCTCGCCCACCTGGGATGATAAGCAGCGTCAAATGCGGTTGCTTGATGTTCGTACTCGCAAGATTGTTCAATACCCGCAGGACGAAAGAGTAGCGTACGTTGCTCTAAGCTACGTCTGGGGATCGGTCGAGCAGGGGGGTATACCCTTGGATCTACCGTTTCGAATCCGCCCGGGACTATAGAAGATGCTATACATATCACAAAAGACCTCGGGATGGACTATCTTTGGGTAGATTCGATCTGCATCGATCAAGCTGACAAAGCTTACTTGGATCAGCAGATACAGCTTATGGATCTCATTTATCAGGGCGCAACGTTGACATTGGTTGCCCTCAAGGGTAACAATGCGAATTCTGGCCTTGCACGGGTGAGGCCAAGAGAAATGACTTATTCTAAAAGTAGTCAATGGTCATGCTCGATCGGAACTGTTAATTTAGTGACATTACCATCGATACTCGTAAAGAGTCTTGGAGAGGAAATCTCTGAGTCGATATGGGTTACCCGTGGTTGGACGCTGCAAGAGGCTTTGCTCTCTCCGCGCTGTCTATACTTTGCAGACAACCAAGCTTACTTCGAATGCAATGTCGCCCAAGCCTGCGAGTTAATTTTCAACTTGGCCTCGCGTCAGGAAAATCACGCGAGCGACGGGATGCTTAAAATGCCGCTTGGAATCGGAACCTCCAAATTGCTAATAGACACGTCCAACTTTGCACAGTTCATGAACCCTTTTGCGCGGACATCAGATCGGCAGGGTGCCGTTGGAGAATCAAACGTCTACTTTGGGTTGAGCCTATACTCAAAGCAAATCGAGGCGTATTCGCTAAGGTCGATCAGAGAAGACTCTGATGCGATTAACGCTATATCAGCAGTGTTAAATCGGCTCGAGGCTTCACACCTAACTTCTGGGTTTTATTGGGGAATACCGCGGCAGGAATTACTCAAAAGTCTAGTATGGCGACGGTGTAGTAGCCACACCGGGTTGGTAAGAAGGGCAGATTTCCCTTCATGGTCGTGGGCAGGCTGGAAAGGGCCTATTGATTTTGTTTCGTGCGAATTCAGCCAGCTTTTTTGTAACTTCTACGAGGGCGTAGAGTTAAACCGGACGCAAGAAGCTGAACACACGTCTTTCGGGTTCAACGCAAGTCATTATTGCCAATTAGAGCGTGTTGAAATCGCCGAAGTTGATATTCCGAGTTCTAAGGAGAAGGGCACGCTTCTAACGGTCCATGGAATGATATTTGAGCTTGATTTCAGTCAGCTATCCACTGGCGCCTTGTATTATTTCGACGGGGATGAGCCAGACTATTACAACTATACCCACTGTAACTACTACTCTGACGAGGATGAGGGTGCCTATTCGGACGACTATTGCTCCGAAGAATACGGTTCTAGCGAGTATGGTTCTGAGGAGGATGAATTTATGGAGGATGAATCTGAGGATGAATCTGGCGAGCCGGAGTCCGACGAGCAGGGAGAGGTAGAAGAGATTGATGGTAACAAATTCGACTGCTTGCTAATAGGACAGGTAGAAGAGGCTCGCTATTCCGACCAATTCTACTTTATAATCCTCGAGTGGGTAGAAGGGATCGCATATAGAAAGGGGCTGTTATTGGAGAGTTGTAGAGATTCACCTTGGGACAGGTTCGGGACACTGAATTTCCAGACGGCGCAATGTCCTAGAATACAACGTTTCCTCCTTGGTTGATTAAACGAAGGCTCTATTTATAGAGAGTGATCAATTATTTCGGTTGCCATGAAAGTATACCTTAGGTAGCTTTGAAAGCCTATTTTATGCAACTGTATTGTACTGGACGTTAGGACATTTTGAGTCCCTAGCAAATAACTATATTAAATTAGCAAAGTCATCTAGAATATCTTTAATTGGTTATAACAAACCTATCAGCGTTTTTCGACTTCGAAATGCGTATGGCACATTGTTTCCAACCAATCGAAGCTCCTTTGTTAACAGGAGCCGATGTGTTATAATGAAAGGGGTAGGTTAGGAGGTACATACGTAACTGTGGGGTAATAAATAGGTGCAATGCAGGTCCTCATAGGCAGTCTCCCATGACGCGCCTGCCACTTGTTGCCTGCAACGGATGAAATAATACATAAGTGTTTGCACATTTCACAAATAAATTATTATATATTTGGATTCATATTTAATACTCCAAAGGCTGCACCTGACTACCTTTACCTGACACGTTTCTTGGTAGGTACAGGACATTATATTCGAAATAGGCACGATCAGCTATATTATACCGTAATTGACCTGCAATAATGGAGAGAAAGACATGGGTCGTTTTAGGTATTTGGCTCTCTAGCATATTCGCTGCTTTTGAGGAGACAGATAATGTTCGCTAACACTTCACGATAGAAAATAATCCTGAGGTGATGAATCAGTTGGCCGCCAAACTCGGCTTATCAGAGGAACTATCATTCTACGATGTCTGGTCGCTTGACGAACCTGAGCTTATGTCACACATCCCCCGTCCCGCCCTGGCTTTACTAGTCATCTTACCCCTGACTCCTACCTGGAAAGCGGAACGCGAAACAGAGGACGCCGACAAGGAAGACTACCAAGGCCGCGGGCCTGGGGAGCCAGTAATCTGGTTTAAACAGACCATAGGCAATGCTTGTGGGTCCATCGGATTCCTGCACTGCGCCATCAACGGGCCGGCTGCGGAATACATCCGACCGGGTTCCGATCTCGACGAGATCCGCCGGCAGGCCATCCCCTTAGGCATGAAGGAACGGGCTGATCTGCTTTACAACAGCGTCCCGTTCGAGAAAGCCCATGAGCCGTGCGTTCAGCTGGGAGATACGGCTGCCCGAAACGAAGGGGCTCTAGGCCAGCATTTCGTGGCGTTCGTTAAGGCGGGTGGTAGGCTCTGGGAGCTAGAAGGGTCGAGGAAAGGTCCGATTGATAGGGGCGCGCTTGCGGACGGCGAGGACGTTCTCAGCTCAAAGGCACTTGATTTGGGGCTTAGGAGGGCTATACGCCTTGAGCAGCAGGCTGGAGGTGCGGATTTACGATTCAGCTGCATTGCTCTTTCTCGGAAAGCTTAAGAGATATGACGTGAAGTCTTCTTCTTGGTCTGCAATTTATGTACCACCTGTTTTACATTATGGCAATGAGAAACGTTAGTAGATGGTACGTCTTACATTTCGCTTGCTTGTTTGCCCTCTTTGAGAATGGAACTGAAGTTTAGGAAACCGTGATGAGTATGCCTTATTTTAGATGGTATCTCTCATGTATTAAGAGTGAACGGTCTAGGTATTGTATGAGCCCGTTTTCGTGGCTAATGACCCACGACGGGAGGCATCTGAAGTAATAGGAGTTAGTATTTACCTAAGAAACGCAAAGATAACTCGAGTTTACCCCCGTTACGCTAATCCGATTCGCTCCCCAAAGGGACATGAGTCCGAGAAGAAGAGTGCTATGAATTCTGCTTTATTAATCAGCAACTAGAATGGAAGAGGGGCTACACCGCTCATCCAATTGATTCCATATAGGCCTCCGGTTAGGAAGGAGTCAGGACACGTGGGATAAGCGGTCTAACCCGTGAGTGGAATAGCCATGGAGTCGGGATGTGGTCGCCGGGACTCGGCTGCGGCTCAAGCAAGAATGGCTGAAAAGGGGTAAGATCATCAATACCTGGTATATGTTACTCTCCATCTTGCATTCTCCAATGAATTTTTTCAAAGGGAGCTTCAGCTAAAATAATCGGTTGCATAGGAACTGGCCGGCAAGGCACATTTTGAATACAGGTAAGCGATAGATAAACCCAGGGGGTCTAGGCCGATCCGGCAGCTTTCATCAGGACTACGTAATTCCTATGTCATATGTCGCTTCCGATACCCCTTATTATAATGCGTAAGGTAGGTTACTCGAAGCAAAGAACAGGAAGATATTAATTGGGAAAGATGAGTACCTATTCAACGGTTATAGAACGGAAATTCAAAGGAAAGGAAGAGATTACCGAACTCGCTTTCCCATTTTTTTCAGTGGAGAAGTTCCCGACCTGTATACCGGGTTTGGTACCTAAGCTCTTCTGCTTACTCTATTTTAGCCCCACATACCCCGTTATCTCAGCACCTCTGTTCCAACTTCCAGGTACGTGTGCTCGGAATCGTTAGCGCAAAACACCCCTACCCTAACATTTTAATCCCGCTAACTAGTACCCGGCTAACCTATTAGCTAGCCCAGCCGGCCAGGTTATAGGGTGCATGTGTAAGGTAGATAGGTAACTTACCTACCTAGGTACCTAAGGTGCTGTGTTCCGTTTCACTTAGCATGGAAGTTACAGGTTAGAAGGTGCCTAAGGTCAGCATGTGATTTGTCGGTAAAACAACTCTCAATATCAATTTAGGGAAACCACTGGGAATTCATGGGTAAATCACTTTCCTTTCCTTTTCAGTTTCGCTACTGGACTTTTTCTATTCTAATCCTGACATGACCTCCTTTTTCTTTTTTCTTCCTTTCTTTCCTATTAATCTAACTAGGTTTTTTATTAAATCGCTCTTCCATTTTGGTATCCACTGCACAACTCAACTGCGTTGCGTTTGCATACAACTTAACAGTTGTGCTGTATCCTGTATCTTCATTTTTACTTGTGCCCTCCTTACATACGCAGCCCCAATCAGACTCTCAGTCACAGATCTACCCGGCCATCCAGCTAAAGCTATCTGGGGCTGACCCGTTCCTCGAGCGCAGGTTTGACAGGCATCAGGGGGTTTCCGTCTATGCCATCCCCATCTTGTGTCCTATAAACCAGTGACAAGATGCGGCATGACGTCGAGCTTAGCTCCTTTTTTTAACGATAGCCAAGCCTGGCGTCTACCATCAACACTTAACCCTTTTTGACATCCTTTTGCGATGGCTTCTGACCGGGCGTTGTCTGGTTCAACTCCTATGAGCTTGAGTACCAGCTATTGCATTCAGAACAAGCACAGAGGTTGGTATCATGTTCAACTCAAAAAGGCTGCACCCATATGAAGCCACGAACATGATGGAAAGGGTGCTGAGCCGCGACTGGCGACTCTGGCAAGTTGCAAGCGCAAAGTGCGGTTCCTACGCTTATTCCCATATTAGGCTGCACACGTGGTAGGTTGACGAGTGAGGTAGGTAGGTTACATATTCGCAATCACTAGGCGGCTTGAAGCATTGATATCCCCATAACTGGCTTGTAGCCTTCTTCAGCCCCTAGAGTTTTGTCCACTTTACTTTGGGTATGTTCATGGGGGTTTCTTCGCAAAGGTCCAGCCACACTCAATTATTTATTTCCCCGTCTCGAGCTAAGCATCGTGGCATCAACCACCATAAAAACCACCACACTACTCCAAAGACCCAGGCTATCTTTGTATGCGGCGGTCTAGAATGATGAGCTTCACTGGGTTTAACCATACCATGGATTGGTATTATACCCACCGAGTGGAAAGGGTATATACTTTCAATCAGGAGCGCCCGTTTAAAAAAACTAAAATCAAAAAAACAAATAGACGAGCCCTATATTCCCCCTTCTTTGGCGAGGCCAGCCAGCGGAGTCGGGCATTTCCTCCGTGAAAGCTGCCCTCCACAGTCATTCAAAATAATCTGTTTTTGCTTGCCTTAGCCCAAAAGTCTCCAAAAAATACAAATCTCAATTAGCTTTTGCTCTCGTGCCATCCTAGAGATCTTCTATTGCATAACACTCTTCGGTAGGGCAGGATTTATGACCCAGACCGGACTGTCGCAACAATCCTGGTCCATCTGGGGTTCTTAGATATCCGACTGCACACTCCCGCCGAGTACGCGTTGCGGTCCGGCCCGGCGACCGCCCCTTCAATCCCCCATACGGCAAATATACTACGCCTGACCTGCATCAACTCATCCTTTTTGGATTCGCGCTTCTTTTGAGGAATGGTCGTGTCCTCCAGGCACAACCGCAGCACCAAACTCGTATTATCTGTCATGTGCTCTGTCGATAGGAAGCTTTCTCGATCGACCTCAAGACCGAGGCTATTCTCCCGAATTTCACCAACCCACCTCCCGGCTCGCTTTCTGTTCGTAGAGGATGAATCCAGAGAGCACCTCGAATAACTCGAGCTCTGCCGGTCCAGCGACGCCCACCAACAGCCGAAAGGAGCGGGGTGCTATAGCTGCCCAGGTAACCTATCTTGTCTTCCTCTTCTTAACCAGTTATTAATAATAGGCCTAGGCTTGCGAGTCTTGCAGACAACGTAAACAAAGATGCAGTGAAGAGAGGCCGAAATGCGCTACCTGTCAGGTTAGTAACCCAACTCCCTTTCACATCTAGTTAGCCCCCCTCTGTGGACCTATCCCAGGAGAGCGGCATCGAGGTCGCACAGTTCTTGTCTCTTTCTTAACTACACTTTCAGTGACTCCTTGAACCTCAGCTTAGACTTACCGACTAACCCCGAAATGTGGAATAGCGAATGAATGTAAGAATGGTTCGTCTTGCTTGTGCCTGTTTTCTACTAACTTCATTAGCTGGAATGCAAATACCGAGAACCTCAACCAACCAAGTACGTAATATCCATGTGTAACTCATACAATGACCGGATGATTCGGCGGGGCCATGAACTGCATTGCGTTGGACAGATACGTGTCGGATATAACTAACGGACTTCAGGAAAGACAAGACTCTCGTTGAGATATTAGAGCGACTGAAGAGCCTTGAGGGAGGGTTGAGAAATCTTGACGGGAAAGTCGATAGCCTTAACGCTCGAGGTACACTCCCCCTATCTATTTATGGCCCAAGCCAGTCCAACCCTCCCCCTGCGTCTCTAGATCCCGGTCAACCCAGCCCGTGGCCTCCTACAAACGTTCACATCCAGTCCGCAGCCATTTCTACAGCCTCGCCTCGAGCTGTGCAATATGTCTCCGCCACTCATAGGATGTTATCGTGGCCTTTCCTGCAGCAAGTCCTTGAGAGCAAGGTCCAGAGCCTGGATTTAACGAGCCTGGAGAAAGATGGAGCCGCCATGTTATTGGGTCTACAAGGTCGAAACGTGTCTCTACCAACTAACATCTATGGATCACCCCATCTTGGTGGCGAGGGAGCATCCATGTCGCTTCAAGTTCCTTCTGGAAGCCAGGTTGAAGGGCTGCAGACGGCTGGGCTGAGCATAAACTGGGAAACAATGCAAAGACTTACCAAATCATATTTCGACACATTTAACTTGATATATCCGATCATGGACCGACAGGTCTTCTTATCCGAAGCATTACCCGCCATTGCAAGTCGTGGCTTCGATGAGAGTAGCTCTTCGACATTGACCTGTCTGGTATTCGCGCTTGGTGAAGTGGCCATCAGCGCTGTGCAGGGCGCTCCGCTCGCGGTAAGTTCGGTCTTGAAAGTCTTATCACCTCTAATTTTATTCAATTGCACCACATTAGAGCTGCCTTGTATTTTCTGGCGCGCCTGATAATAAAATGTTCTCCGTACAAGTTGAAGAGTCGCTAACTTGATAATCAGACACATAAAGGGCGTCCTAGTGGTCTTAGGGGAGGAACAGCGGATAGACCGCCAGGGTTGCTATTTTTCAACGAGGCTAGAAAGCGAATGGGTTTCAATCTGACTGAATGCAGTCTAGAAAATGTGCAGATTTTTGCATTAGCGGCGTGAGCATCTCCCACCTGAGCATATGATATATACATGGCAAAGACTTACAATTTCCAACATCCAGTATATATTACGGCACATGTTGTCACCACCTAGTAAGTAAGAGCATGCTAAATTAATTCTTACCCTTACTAATTGGTCTAGGAATTCTGGCGTATGTCGACCTCGGCGTCCCTAGCATGCCAGGCGTTGCTAACGAGGTATGCATTAGAAATCAACACACTGCCAGAGCAATGCTAACCTCGTTCCTAGCAATCCGGATGTATTAACAACCCACCGAGGGGATCTGGTTCGGAGGGCGTTTTGGCATTGCTCTATAATGGAAACGTGAGTTGCCATCCTACTTCGACTTATGTTAACCTTCTAAACTAAATGGCTATAGATGCCTGAACATGGAGCTGAATATTCCTCGGACCGGGTTAGACAAGCTAGAATCATTGGTAGGACTACCTGATTTCAGCGGCTCATTCTCCGAAGAAGATTATATTGGGAACCAGGCTTCCCACTTTCAGGAACATTTCGCTTCGCAAATCGTCCTTCGGCGGTTATCCGTAGAGTTCCACACTACGCTAACTAACGGTGAGTATATTTTAAACCCTCTACCTCATTTCCGCAAGTTATGCAGCAGCCATTGAGACGTTTTCGACATTCACTTCTTCAATCTTAGGATAAGTACCTAGGTAGCTAACTTGTTAAAGCTTTCGGCCCTACAAGTACACCCAACGAAGCGCCAATACCCCCAACAACGGTAATGATGAAGCAGATGGCTGAGCAGCTGGATCAATGGAGAGGACTGCTGCCAGTATACTTGCGCTGGGAGGAAGAGAACCCAGGGGCATTCTCAAACCCAGCTGAGGAGATGTATGGAGAGCATTCGATGTACCCGCCTCCCGTCCCCGAGCTTCATACAAACTTTATGTTTTCGGCAGACCTGGATATCCCTCCCGCGAGCTATCCTTACGCGGTAGATATACAGACCGCTAGCCTTAGGACAAGATATTACTACGTTAAATATCTGATCTATAGGCCATTTATTTTCAAAGCCCTTCACCACCCTGAGCAGGTGACACGGGACGACGCCGATGGTGTCGTGGAGTGTCTTAAAGCAATGCTAAAGTGGCCCATTACGATGTCGCCAACCTGCTTCCATAAGAGACTGGTCCCATGTCTCTTCTTCTGGTCGCAGAATCTCCTTGGCATCCTTATCATCTTACACCTAACACAACAGGTGCCCATCTTAATACGAATACGGGCGTCGTTGATGGGGACTAAATTCGACCAAGATGCGAACGAGACGGCCGGACTTTGTATTGACTGGATACGGGACCTCAAAGATACGGACGCGACTGCTCTATGGTGCTGGGAGATCCTAAAAGGCATCTACCCTCTAGAGGACGATACATGATAATGGAGTTTCTTTCCCGCCCTCGATACCCCCCCATTTAAGTACCATTCGTTTCTCTCCTTCTATCATAGGGTTGGATTCACATCATGGACCATGCGCGCGGGGTGGGGGGATTTTTGAGCGAAGCAAGAGAACGGAATTTCACTATTGCTGCTACTACTATTATCATGGGAAGGAATTATTTTTGTAGTCGTGTATCATCGAAAAAAAAAAAGAATTACCGGCGCTAGGAGCTTTTTCTTTACGGGATTCAAGAGAAAGTTCCCACAGAACAAGATTATTCGTGCGGGAGGGGGCATGATTTGTGATATCTCAGATGCATGGGCGGGCGAAGGATCAAGGGCCGTCTTGTTCACCTTTTTTTCCTTCATCCTCTTAAGCTTCTCTACCTCTCTACCAGGTAGGTAGGTTAGGTTACCCATTTTTTGAAGCATTTACAACAGTATACTTAACATATCTAGCGCGCTGGCTATGTCAATTGATTTTTATCGATGCTAAGTCTTCTCATTTACTTATTTATCGCCTCTTCCTCGAGTAGGTATGAATAGCCACGACGTGACATACTCTATTCATAGGGGGGATGCTGACTACCTAATACTTAGACTCCTATATATGGCGTGAAGTTAAGAATTTACTTCAAGTGCTTAAGTATATGCACTTGTTCAATTGCAGTCCATCTAGGTTGAGCTCCTGCTGTCAACTTTTGCTTGCATCCTTAGAATATGTAGCATGAGTATGGCCTAGCAAGTTCTTGGATTCCTACAAACGGGGGAGGTTGGCTCCTTTTGGGCTGGCATTGCACATGATATCATTGTCTAAGTCCTGCCTATAATAACTGATAGTTAGGTAATTTACCTTTATTTACATACATGCATTCCCACGAGACGGGGGAAATGGGCGTAATATAGTCAGCCCATAAGGACTATGTCTACAAAGCTTACAAGATATATTAGAGGCTCCTGAAGTGATTCTTCATTCAGGTGAAAATATGGTTTCCGGTTTGCACGACCAAGATCCATCCAATGCTGAGAAATATGGCATGGGTATATTGGACAGATACCTTGAATGCGGTACGTTGGTTATCGTCAACCGGAACTTCGACTCCTTGCCGCAGCGGCCTCCAGATTCTACTTCGATACTCACATATCAGAAATTAAAATTCATTAAGGGTACTGGCAGATCTCCTCAGCCAAGTACCCGGTTGGTGGTAAAGTGGGTTGAAGTCGTCTGCGCCTTGGGGGCTATGTACTTCCTGCTAAACGCATGGTATACAATACGATCGGTTACAAAGCCGCAAGTTGTCTGAAACTGCTTTGGCATCCAACGGGAATACCATCGAGCTGACGCCAATGACGATCTTAGCATGGAAGCGGAACGCTTGGGTGATACGGGGGAGGGAGTGTAAAGACTTAACACCATCGTGGGGGAAGAGGTGGAGATGTAAGTTGCGGTGAGCTGAAATAACGGCTCGGCCCCGTTGAGTCAACGTGCGTGCGCGCATGAATGAGCTCGGCGTCGTCCCTGAATTTCGTGAGGCGTACGGATGACTAGATGGCGGTCTGATGCCGTCTGTCTTTATGTAACAAGTAGTTTCCTTAGATGGGTTGGTAGGGACCGAGAATCATACAGTAGTAATAAAGGTTAGCCATTGGTACGGTTCAGATAGAATGGTCCGGGAGTGTCGATTAGATAGATAGGTATCTAATTTGTTGGCGCACATATACGTAGCAAACACTACGTAAGATGTGAACCTTATAAGAACTGGGCATATCTTCCATCTAGAGCTAAGCATCGTGACTCGGTACCGGGTAGGTATTTGGTCTGGCTCAAACCGATAAGCATCTCTTAATTTAAGAATAACATATAGTCAGAGTTTTGTAACAAGTTATGTATAAGTTGTTGATGGTGTTGAACAAGGTTGATGGGGAAAAAGCGAATCATTATTATGTATCTAGGTAGTTCTCCGAACTCCGAACCTAGCCGTAAAACTTGTCCGTGTCTGTCCAAGCTTTTGGCAAACGCATACCCTAAGGTACCCAGATACACATATGGTAACGAAGTGTCAAATGTCGCGGAGACCTCAAGTTCAAGTAGATATGTATAATAGTACCTACGGATCGGGAAATGATAGTATAAGTGACATATGTAAGTGACGATATGGTTAGATACTCATCGGAACCAGTCTTGAAGAACTGTTGGCTTGGCTTAGTCTTGGTCTTGGGCTTAGGCTTAGGCTCGTGCGACCTGTCAGAATTGGGTGAGCCAAGGGAATCGAAGCCAGCAAAGAGGCCAGGCCGCGCAAAGCGTCGCACTACATTGGAGTATTCGTCGGATCTTTATCAGTTTCTTTTATTGAAGGGCATCACACGCGCCCCCTCGTGTACCCAGCGGAGCTAGTGTGGTGGGTGCTATATTTATAGTTATCGTGTAGCCCAAGTTGAGATATCGAGCAAGAAAAAGGTATGTGATTCGAGGGACTTGGATGTAAAGAGCTGAGAGACAGAATCTCGCATTCTTGATAGGTAGTGTGTAACAACAATTATCACATGTCTTAGGGATGGTCAATAATAAGAATATTAATAATAAGGCGAGAGAATATACGTATGTGGTTACCTTAATGAGTGATATGATCAAATAATGATATGAGAAAAAGTGTTGTATGAAGAAGAGATCAGACGAGCGCTTTGACTTTGGCCGAAACTTCAAATTTACGCTTTGACGTCTTGTACCCGGCCTTTTTTTAGCGGTTCCACCTTTTTTAGATCGAGAAAGAGTCTAAGCGCGTCGGAACATTCAATCCAATACTATGTACCTCCTAGTAGACGTACTAGGTAGTAGTAGGTAGAAGGGCGAAGTACCTATCAGATACAACTCATTTTCACAGTGGGTCTCTTCCCATGTGCTCTCTTCCCGCGTATTACAAGTCCACTTGTAGTATCCACTATTAGTTTCCTTTTTTGCCCCGCATAGTCGTTTCAAAACTTTACGGAGCTTCAACTCGTGTGGTACAACATGGTTTTCCAACGGCGCTCATATGTCAAAGAACTCAGAAGACACTGTACGTTCGCGTCATGGCACGATTCCAGAAGAACAATGCTTCGAGAAGGATTCCTCTCCCCACATAGACCATCGTCTTAGGAATGGCATCGTCGTGGATTTCTTATATTTGACTGGGACGACGGTTCCGATCGTGAGGTCGGGAGATACATACCCGGATATGTAAACCGTTCGGTACTTAGGTACATTAGGGTACCGACTTACTATGTAAACTTTCCGACAACCGACTGGACGGGCGCATTATCCACAATGTTGCAGTAGTTCGCCCGTTGATAAAAGAGAGCCCACTTTAACGGCGGCATATGTACGCGGGCTGACATTAGGTACATAACATAAACCATAACATAAACTTACAGTAGAATTTGAACTTCTGCATAGCATATTCTTATTAACCCTTAACCGAGCATACAACGTTTCGGCTCTCTAGCCGAGGGGACGACAACTTAGCATTGATATTATTACAATATTAATATCGATCCCATCCCGAGGTGTTCTTGAACTCTACAAACATCATGTTTCTGCAGGGCGATATATTTTCAAGGACCGCTTCGGGGTCGTTCATCGCTTATAACGCAGGTTTCTTTGACATTTTCAACCCTACCTTTTATCAACATTATCGCAGTTATATCCTTCCTGTCCCTACCCGGCCAATTTCCTAAATAGAATGCTTTTTTTTTCATTAAAAAAATGCGAGTCAAACGAGCACGTGTTACATCTGGGATATATTTTCGAGTTGGCAGGGCACCTTGGCGCTTCCAAAAGTCCGGTATGCAAGACAGATATGTTCCCGCCTGGTTTCAGCTCATAGATTTCCCGAGATCTTGTACGTACCAAGGAGGCCACGTTGGTCGCAAGAGCTCGGCGAGTCGTTTTGAGCGTCTGTTACAACTGGAGCCAGACTCTTGCTGTCAAACTTGACACTGTCAATTGTAACTCCTGGGCCCCAGCAAGAGATCGACGGCCGTAAATGCAGCCTCGACCCTGTTCGGTAGATCAATTCGGATGCCGGGCGAAAGAATTGTGAAGCTAGGTAAAACTTTTGGCGCCTCACTGTTTCAAGCTAGGAGTCTTTGCTCGTAGCCTTGCAGTCACAATCGATTCTAACCAATCCCTGTTCACATGAGGTTGAGCCTTGTTAACGACATCAAGTGTATGATGATGCTATGTAAATAGGTAGCAAGCTTCCCCTTCCTGTCAGCCTTGATCTTAATACAGCTTTGCAGGGATCCAACATTGTAAGAAGACTAGCTCGTGGGGGTCGTTACCTATCACACGAGTTGAGCTACCTACATGTGTCATGAGGTAGGTTCCGAGCTCGAAGCTTCTGATAATAAAGTCTAATAACTATCATAACAGGTAGTACCTAGATTACAGGGATAAGAGCCGCCCTTAACCATTAAACCAATCATGAGACTCTTTTAGAACGAGAGGTTCGGTAACGTCACTATTTAGGCTAATTAATCCGTGACGACCAAACTGTTGTCGTCAAAGCGATCCAATCATCAACGGATGTTGGACTATCTACATACCTGCATACCTGTAAAGCATGAAGAAGCTCGATGCTTTGTATTGGAATCACACATCGACTACCTTGTAAAAGTGATCCCATTCATAAATGCGAATCAGACGCGGATTACTTTGTACCTACATAGCAAGTCAAGTCAAATAACAGGAGCGTGACTGCCCCTCTATAATAGAAAATAATTTCCGGCGTTGATGCGGACTCACCAAGCCGTCGGGCCTTTCCTAGTATTGTACCTAGCGGTTGACCTAGCCTAACCTCAGCTTAGCTTAAGCTTTGCAACATTCCCCAGGTGGGCCCCGCCATAGCTGCCACATGGAGGAGAGAATATATCCAAGATAGTTAGTTCACTGGATGCTATTAAGCAACAAAGAATACGGTATTGCATGAAGCCAAGCGGTAAATTAATGTCGCTAAAGGTAGTATATTCCGTACGATGTTTCGGAGATATAGGCGTGATGAAAAAACATGCCGGACTTCAAAAAACTAGAAGCTCTGCTGCACGTGCAAAGCCTTAGTTGACTGAGAAGTCATATGTCAAATGAGGTATGTAAACGACGCGACGCGACGCACGCCTCCAATTCTGTACGCATTACGTATATACAAGTACCCGGCTACCTAAGCTTAACCTAAAATATTACCTAAGTGCATAGGTACATGTACGACGCTATAAAATTTACCTATGTATTATGTACCTCTCTAAAAATCAAGTCGTCTCCAATAATTTGTTTTGCTTTTCTTTTCCTTTCTCAAACACCATATGCGCAGACAACAGCCTCATCCACTTCAGCTCAGGTTTTTTACTACTCTCTCACTTACTTTGCCGTCCCAACACTCATGACAAGTGGAGAACCCTACTAGGTTAGTACTTCGAACAAACGCC